GTGGTTTAGTGGTATAATACTCCCTTAGCATGGGAGTGGTCCGGGGTTCGATTCCCCGCGAGTCCATTCTTTTTGCTTTTGATTCCTCGTCTCCCATGGAGTATATTTTTTGCTTTCGTGGCATTGCTGTCTTTTTTTTCTTCTAAAGCAGGAACTTCAGCCAGATGGTGTGTCTAACGGTGTAGCGGGTGACGGTCAGATGTCTTATATATTATGTACGGACTTCAGGAGTATGGATTGATGGATATGATATTGAACTACAAGTCTATTCTATTGTGGTTTTCAGACAATTCCCACGAGATGCAACTATGCCACCTTCGCCCAGATATCTTGAGCAGTGAGTAGCGTGCTCAGCACCATGGTCGATCCAATTACCACATCCCCAGTGGGCCACCATCCTAGGAGCTCCAATGGAATAAGCAGATCGCATCCATCGACCATCACCCGCTTAACAAGAGTGGAGGCAGCAGTGGCTTGGACGGGAGTGACCTTCTGAGCTTTTTCGTTCTTCGTGTCTGCCTGGGCTGGCTGTTTAGTGCTGCTGAAAAGAAGCGCCCAGATAGACCCGGCCACGGAGAAAGACAGAGCGTAAAGCCAGAAGGTGTTGGCCTGGTCCATGACACGATCATTCCAAGGGACCGCGTATACACCCATTGCATGAAGCTGGTACTGTCAGTATCATTCCCAAGGTTGTCTGCACTTTAAAATTGGGGCAGGAACTCACGATAGTCAAATCCTCCAGGACAAAATATAGACCGAAGCAAGTCCATTTGGCTAGGTCAATTAGGCCAGTAACCGAGCTGAACCCATCACCGCCCAGTAGGGCAGACACGCGCTGGAAGGAATCAATGAATCCGAAGAAGCGGAAGTATCTCCGCGCTATAAATTGATATCAGCATCTATAATATTCATATCGCATGCTCTGTGTCTAAAAATAAGAGGTGACCACTTACTCAGGGCCAATTGCAACTTAACGGTCGTCAATTGCACGGCCAGGGCACTGCTCTCGGTGAGCGCTGCAACAACCTGCGACACGCATTGGATCAGACGGAGGGTCTTTTCCAGACCGCTGCCTGTGTTGACGAAGCGGGAGAATTTTTGTATCATTTTGCTGCGCTGCAGTGTCGTGGTTGTTCAGTCTCAAGGGATGTGTCAAAAGGCTGAAAAGCGGTCTCCAGCCCTGGAGGACTGATCTCCGCGCCAGATAGGCGCTAGTTTTGCTTATTCATCTTTTTGATTCATCCTCTGATTTGCCTAGATTGAATGAAGAGTTTATCGTCGGTTTGATGGTAGTTCCGCATCCGCGGGGTATAATAAGCGCGGTTAGAGTGGACCAAAGGGGAATGTGTAGGAGATATATATCGGATCGACCTCCCAAAGTTTCCCCACGGGTAAGTAAGCTTAACACCGGCGTCGATGAATATATACTTAAACTATTTACGAGTGCATCATTGTCCTGTATCCTGGTAATAGTTGAAACCAAATTGCTACGCAAAATGAGAAATGCTTGCAAAAATAGGGATCTCTACCGCCCTTTGCCGCCCGAGATATCTTGACCCAGACGGTATCCACCAACCTTCTCCCACTCCACCTTTTGACGTGTGATGGGAAGTTGTCTGCGTAGACCCTTGAACGCACCCTCAGCTGTTTGCACAAACGCCCGGTTCAAGGCCTCCTGGTAATCGCGCTCGGCTGCCGCGATCTTGGACACAATCGACTCGGCGGACACAGAGGGAATGTTGATACTGATGGGCTTGGTGGTGTTGAGTGCCACATTGCCGTCTTCGTAGTAGTGCACATCGACATGGATCTTACCGGTCAAAGTGGAGGGTGAGGAGACGGGGACCTGGTAAAATGCACGGAAGCGACCGTTCCTGTTTCTATGATCAGCTTGCGTCTTATGTGACTCCGACTGTCAATGACAATATCCTGCCCACTCACCAGAAGTTGTTAGGAGAGTATCGGTTGGCGACCAAGAGAATAGCGACAGCGGAGTCGTTCTCGATGGGATAGACGCCGTAAGAGCAGCCGGGGTAGTGTTCACGAGCATGAGCCCCGAACGACTTGAGTAGCGATTTGCTATTAAGGTCAGTAAAATGCGCTGAATACGAAGCTCGGGAATTCCCCCTCACATTAAATCGGCATTTTCTGACTCCAAGTGGTACGATTGTGCCCCAGAGGCAGTCTGTTATCCCCCGTTAGCCCCGCAAGCTCGATCGACCATTTGGGTCAAAGGCAAGCCTACTTGTGTGGTATGGTCGAACTCAAAAGAGGTCTGACTTTCGGGATCGAAGTAGCGGTTTTCCTCGAGCACGTTGAATTCACTAACGATGACCTTTGAAACGTTGTCAGCGGCATCGCGGGACAACCGAGCGCGAACGCTACCTCTTGGCTGGACCCTGGCAGCTTTACAGTCGCAAGCTGGGTCTCATTGTATCGCTTGAACGCAGGTTGCAGGGAGGAAATAATGTCATCACCCTCGGAGGTCAGGGCCTGCACATCTATCGAACGGCGGGGATCAGCATCAGCATTCAGGCGCGGGAGTTGGGCTCGAAAAAGTCGGGGCAGGCTGCGAGGTATGCGGGTGATTTACCAGAAACGACGTCTGCAAGCTGAGATAGAGCATGTTAGCTATTGTGGTTTGAGCTGCAGGGCCGGGGAACCCATGTTGACATACCTCTCCGGGCGGGGCACCCTCGATAAAGGAGGAGGCCAACTCAACGGTGGAAGCCATAGTGAATACAGGAGAAAATTGAACAAACAGGAGTGAGCGCAATTGGAAATCCCGAGAATCTTGTGAGAAGGAGGGGGAGCGTTTCGGCGAGAAGCTCGCGGAGGCGGAGAGCGATAAGCACGTGGTATACAGATCTACATACGTAGCGGAGGTGTCAATATCGTACTCCATAAATATGATCAAATTGCATATTGAAATTGTCCTAAAGTGACCAGGTATATTGAAAATTCGCTAAAATCCCCATGAGTCCCCAACACCATGCTTGAAAACTCCATAGATCAACCGCAGATAAAAAAAAGAAATAGAAAAAGAAGATCTAGTCAATGCTCATGTTCATAAACCCATCGCTGGCCTCAGTCATTCCCTGCAGACCGACACGTTTAGTACCCCCGTGAGGAGTAGTCCGAGGACCAGAATCGGCACTAGATCGCTCTGAGAATGGTGCACCAAGACCAGGCTTTGGTGGGGGTCCCCAGATATTGGGGCCCGTATCATTGACGTGGTGGGAATGGGTCATTACTGGACTGCTCTGGGCACTCACGCTAGGTGATACAGCCCGGCGCTTGAAGAGATTGGGATCAAAGTCATCATCGCGACGTCGCTTTCGACATATCTCTCCGATGCTCGTCATACCGGGAGCATGAGGGGTGCAAGAGCGGGAACGAGGCTTGGATGAATCTGCCGTCACAGAACCAATCGTTGTAGATGGAGTCATGTCCATAGAAATATCATCATCGGCCACTGAAGGGGGGCCTCCCTGACGTGCAGGTGGAGGAGTTCGATATCGTCCATCAAACGAGTTCCAGAACTCAACCCCACCCGAGTTGCGACTTGCTTGTTTGTTAAAACTGTCTTTGGATGGGGTTTCCATCCCCGATTTAGCCGCCGTCTCATCTGTCTGCGTGGAGTCGTATGAGGTAGACGGCTGCAGAGATGGGAATTCGCCCAGTGCAGGGGTTGGTTCAGGCTCAGTGTCACGGACCTGCCGGACAACTTCTGCCTCACGTTTCATATCGCTGTCGACCGGTGCACCCTCTTCCATGAGAGCTGCGCGAATTCGTGCGAATGTTTTAGTCTTGGGCTATTCTCAGGGTTAGCGTGGGCGTCTTTAACACACAAAACCCGAACACGATCTTACCAGTAAGCTTCCCCGACGGGTCACTGCACGACGAATGACTCCCCATGGCCCCCCACCACTCTCCGAGTTTTGTTTAGGGATAGGACTTCCACTTCGTGTGTTGCGGCTCTCGCCATCGTCGCTCATATCCGATAGACGTAGGTCCCGGGTGCTGAAGCTAATGCTCTCTCGGCGGGCATTCACGTTTGGCCGCGGCGCAAAGTAACCGCCGCTGGAATGCTCGACACTTTTCATGATGGGTGGAGAATGAGGGGTAGGGCTGGGCTTGGAGCTATTCCCACTCGCACTGCTAGAGCTGTGGCGACTGCGGCCCTTGCGGAAGCGCGCACGTTGGAAACTCATCAGACTGGCAGCAGCCTGTGAATACCCACCCATCCATTCGTTCCCTGGACTTTGCATAGTGCCAGAAAAGGGACTTGGAGCGTGCATGCGTGTAGCTTGCGGTGTATTGAGCATCATATCGTCGCGATCTCCCATTGTCTCGTCTTCATCGTCACTACTACTGGTGTCTGACTCCATCATGTTAACACTGGACATAGAGCTTGAGATAGCTGTACGCTCCACTGGTCCAGATGTCGAGAATGGCGCGTTCGAAGTCGCGCCCGGTGACCCGTGCCTCTGTGGTATCGCCATGCCCCGCCCTCCAACGGTTGGAGATGAGTCCGGGGAGGATTCGGCAAGGGTGGAATGGTGGAGGTTCGTACATGCGCGAGAGAAATCAAGGCCTCGGGATCGGCGGGGGAGCACGGATCCTGGCGATCCGTAGGTATGGGATGGGTCGAGTTTGGGAGAGAGAGGAGCACGGTTGGTAAGTGATGGCGACACGGTGGGTTTGGAAGGCAAGTTCAGCGATAAACTTGAATAAGGCAGGCTTGATCGTCGTGGAGTTGCGGGGAGTGTAGGAATCGCATTCTCGTCTTTGCTTGGTGGCCGACTTAAATCACCAGTGGCGGGTTGAGTGGAAGAGGTAGGTTTGGAGGCATCAGAAAGTGAACGCGATTTGGGTGAGCGCGGTGAGTGTGACGACTCAGCATGTTCCAGATCTGGTGAATGGGGTTGTGATAATTGCTGGCTGAGTTTGCTTTCAAACGCATGAGCCGATATGCTACGCCCAGGCGCTGAAGGACGTAACTCAGCCATTAGGTCACTCTGATCTGAATCAGCGATATAGAGCACGCAAGTTGATGGGCATTGCTCAATGATGCCAATATTCAGACTATAGGCTTAATCCCCTACAATTGAAGTCCACAGGGGCGAACAGAATGTGCTTTCCGGCTTGAAACAAAAATGAGACTTAGACTGACAGGAGGAATACACTGAAATGCAAGTCACTGGCTTTGAGCGGTTAACGAGATCAGATGATACGCTAACCTGATCCGGACATTTATAGAGACCTCGGCCGTGGGGAATGTACCTTGTAGTAGTTAATCTATGTTTATTTAAACTTTCTTCTTTCAAAACTGTTTTTTTCAAGACTCTTCCATAGCAAAGTAGCAACAAAATCTGTTTCCAATGTTGGCCTGGTTATTTACATTCCTGTATTATACATTGAGTTCGACCTTGAAGTACAGATCAGGCGAGGCTCATGGCATTACTGATAGGCACTACATGCCATTCCCAGTCATTACAATGATTTTGGGGAGCCGCTCCCTTTATCATATCAGAATCACGCGTTTGCCACAGCTTCGTGATCACGGCACGTGTTCTAGCAATGTTGGAGATTGTCGAGTCCGCCATTGTGGCCAAAGAGCGCAACACAATCGCCCGTCCCGAACCCGAGTCTGTCTCGGAGCCTGGGTTGAGTTCATCATCAGAGGGGTCAAGCTCAACAGAGGCCACAAAGACTGGCCATGCGACATTGGCAGTCGATTGGCGATCAAGAAGATTTAATATGAGGCGCAGGATCTGGCGCACATAGCTTTTCACCAAGGGTGTAGTGGGATCGGACCCATACAAAGCACAGTGTAAATACAGCATGGCTGCTAGGCGTTTGGCATCTGCAACGATTGCAAGGACCTCATCCTCACCATCCCCCACCTCTTGGACCAAGCTTTCTAACTGTCTTTCAAGAGAGGCGGCTCGCATGAAGTAGGTTGACTTGTCTTCTTCAGAGGTGTATTGTCGCCTTGTTCGGCTCATATCTGTAATCTTGGCCAAGATAGAGACCAGCTCGGGACTACAGCCCATCCAAAGATCGATGTTGCGTTCGTCGGGCTTCCAGTAGTCAGTGCCAAACAATACCTCCTTGGCACAAGCAGTGCGACCCATGACATCCTGGAAGGCGAAGAATTGCTCTGCAAAACTCGTGACAGGATCTGACGGGACCGTGGATTTAGACAGTGCAGTTTGCTGCTTTCTCCGGAGTCGGATCAAATCATTGGCACCCTTAAGATGAATGGTCCACTGTTGGTCGCATTTGTCCACTATCTCGTAGAGACAGAGCATAATCATGATCACGAGCACTTCGGGATCCATCGAGCATGTCAGTGTCCCCTCGGACGAAAGACGTTGGCGAAGATCTCTCAGAGCTTCCGATTTATAGCGCAGGCCGATGGAGCCATAGCTTGGATTGAGCCTTGACCAGTGACATGCCCCCAGTGCCTGAATCGCTTTGAACAGAGTAGGGGAGGCGGATAGGCAGAAGGGTAGAATCACCGATGCGAATGGCGACGAAGTCGTAGAGCTGGCAGCAGTCCGGGGGCAGACTTGCTGGAGATAATAATCAAATAGCTCCCCATGACCCGATTGAGAAAGCTCGGGAAATAATGCAAGAGATGGTGGAAGAGTGAGATTGTAGGTCGCAGTGATTTCGGCAAGATGTGGAAAATGTCGCAACCAAGACCAAAGTTGGTCTGTTGTGTCCTGGGAGCCTTGAGTAACCGAGATTAGCTCGTTGAGCTCGTTGAAATCAACATCCACTTCATCCGGGCGTTCGAATGTTGCAAGACTGCTGTTAATAAACCCCCAGGGGCTAACCGTCGGCAACGGGCGCCACTCATGCACTTCATTCGAAGAAAGGGAGCCAGGCGTGGGCTGATTACCCCCTGCTTTGCTCCACACACCAGCACGTCCGAAGGCCATCCCCCGGCTGGTGAATTCCGACTCCCATTTCAGGACCAGATTTTTGGTGCATGGCAACCCTTTCTCCCAGCAGCGTGTGCATATGGGCTTCTTGGTATCGCAACGGACTCGGCTCGTGCGGCATTCTTTGCAACCATCGCGGGATCGAGTTTTGATGGGACCTGTCCGGTCTGCGGCTTTTCTTCGCGGCATCGTGTCTATTTCACATGATTAAATCATACACCATAGACATGGAGAAGCCGGAGAAGTTGAAAAAGTTGAAGAAGCAAAGGAAAAAAAAAGTTGGTCCCCGCAAGTGGCGATAAGGGACAAGGGTCCATCGGCACCCCGCAAAAGCTCCAGGGCTGTCAGCTCTGCGTTTCTGTTGCTCGTATGCATTGCTACATGCTCAAATTCTATTGATCCGGAGGGATACTTGTTGAAGGGGTACTAATTATGCTTTGAAACCTTACATAATTTGATATGAAGCTTTTTTGAGACGTACTGAAGATACAGCCAACTTCACTCCGTTGAGTGCTTTTATAGAAACCTAGAATGGGGTTGTTTCAAGAGGTCTGTCTCTCCTTCCAATCCGCTGCACAATCCCCAAATGTAACAAACTCAACACCATCTCCCTGCTGCTTCAGCCAAGAGATCATCCTGTCAATCATCCCAACCACGTGGGCCATTCCACTAGTGTCTGGATGTAGAACCAGAGGAAAGACAAAGCCTTGCTCACAACCCTCTTCGGTGGCTTTTTCAAGAGCCTCGCTGTAAAGAAATTCAAATCGTGACTTCCAGTTCTGCTCGATGGTCACTGGACTCACAAACCCATGTGAATTCTCGGCAGCTGGAAGGAATTGCATTGGGGTCATGTCCTCCATATACCAATTGCATGGGATTTCAACCAGAGTTTGAGGGGTTCTGGGCTGTGGGGCAGGGAGAGGCTTCATCCAAGTCGAAGCAGAATTGGAGGGCGAGAAGTCAATGGGCTTGGGCTCAGACATTCGAGGCACAAAATACAATGACGAATCATGGTGCGTGAGAGAAGAATCTGTTCTTGGTATTAACTACCATACCACTAGGGAGATGAAGAGTTCTTTTACCGTATAGGAATCCGTGATCCTCCAAAACTTGGATTGTGTGCGTTCTCAGTTGATACAGAGGAGCTCTCCAACCCCGGGGTTTTTTCCCAGTCAAATCGGTTGCTAGCTCCACGCATCTGGTAATTACCTCTCTTTCTTGAGCTTCGGTCATTTGGCTTGACCCCTCGTGTGCATATCCATGGCAGCCGATTTCTGCACCCGAATCGACAATTGCCCTGGTCTCTTCAGGGAATGACTCCATTGAATGCCCGGGCACAAACCAGGTGACTGACGAAGAGATCCCATGTTTCTTGAAAAGTCGCAACAGACGGGGTACCCCAACGTGAGCGGCAAAAAACCCACTGCTGTAATCAGCTAAGTTGGTGGTGGCCGACGCCCCGGTTCCCAGAAAACCCGACACGGCGTCGAAATCTACAGATAGTAGAATTTGAACCTTGGGTTTTGACATTGAAGAGATCCCTGCTATGTTTGAGGTGAGGAATTGGGTCTCCAGGTGTTCAAGAGGATTGAGAGTCAAAGTCGTGAAGGTTTGGCCCCAGATGCGAAGGGGAAGGACAACCCGACACTTTTTTGCGGGTCCCCCCGCCGTAGTCAATTGTATACTCCCTCGTCCATGCCAATATACTGTAATAGCTGAGCCTTGATGGAAGCTTCAAGCTGATATGAACTTTAGAAAAACTCGAATTCTGAGAAATGGTGGATTGAATGCTTTTGTCCGCACATATACCAAAGAAACCATGATACCAAGTGGATCATGGCTCTTTGAATAGCCTTATCTGCTAGGCTTTATCAACCTGTCTTCTCCCCCGCTCCCAACTTCCGCTTTTTGAGCTCACAAAATGGCTCGTACAATTCTGGCTTTTCAACATGATGCCAGTCTTCATACACTGAAAACTACCGTGATATCAATTTCCCCATTCAATTCTCTCGACGAATCCAGCCGTCAACTGTTCAAAGATGCCGACGAAAAGCACCATGTTATTGTCACTGAGCAAACCATCTTCCACCCTCAAGGAGGTGGCCAACCCTCAGATACCGGCACGCTGAAAGGCCCCTCGGGAAATTTCACTGTCACAGCAGTTCGCATGGATGCAACTGGACAAGTGCTCCACCTCGGCCTCTTCGGGGACGGCTCCTCAATTCTGCAGGGAGAGACAATTGAGCAAGCGATTGATGTCGACAAGCGTTTGCTGTACTCCCGTCTACACACCGCTGGCCATGTGTTGGGCTCAGCCGTTCGACATCTGCTAGAAAAGGAAATCGAGAACTTCGACGAGCTGAAAGCCTCTCACTTCCCCGATTCGGCAGCCTGTGAATTCCAAGGCTCGATCGAAGGAAAGTGGAAGGATCCCATTCAGAACAAGTTGGATGAATTCCTCGCCGCAAAAATGCCAGTTCAAATCGAGTGGTGGGACGAAGACGATTTCCGCACGCGAGGCTTGGAGCGATTGATCCCTGATCGCAGTTTGGTGCCGGCTGGTGAAAAATCCCGGGTTGTGAATATTGTCGGTGCTGAGGTATATCCCTGTGGTGGGACACACGTCGAGACGACAGATTTGTGTGGACCGGTTGCGGTGAAGAAGATTTCAAGAAAAACCGGAAACTCTAGAGTCAGCTATGTAGTGAAATAATTGAGTGCAGTGAAGACGCCAAAAGGCCTTCGAAAGCTCGGAAGACATGACATGAACCCAATAGAGCTGGGCCAACAGATCGAAAAGAATGTGGATTCCACAGCAGCCATGACTTCACATTATTCAATACAGCTAGACAAATAATAGGCATTGGGCGTCAATCCCAAGTTATGAGGGCGTATGCTTTGGAGGCTGATGATTGAGCCAGGGGTGGCACTATTTACACGATCTGCTGAGTTCAGCGAGAGGATTCCGCATCCTGAAGCTGGTAAGTCTCTGAAGGACCGGCACGGGAGATGAAGGGTCGCGATAGACCCTGCTCTTCGTCGTCCAGTTTGGCAAATCCGTCTGGTCCAGCAAGATCCGCCTTGTCGTAGGGTACATCACAAAGAACTGATCGCAAAGGCGGATAATAGCGGCGGTACGAGAACCAGGCTATTAACATACCCAAGAGCCCTCCACAAGTCACATCATACACGTCGTGTCGATAATCATCTAAGCGTGAGATTGCGACCATCAGAGCACATAGGAGTGGAAAGAATGCCAGTAGACAGCGACCCAGATCAGTCCGGGGCCGGAATACATGCATCTGACCACAAAAGAAACTGCAATTCAACCATAGTTAGAGCTGTTCCCTCGCCAAGTCAAATTGTAGCACAACTCACAGGTAAAGATAACCTAGACCGCCAAATGAGAAACTACTGTGTCCACTAGGGAAACTTCGCCATCCTTCTTGCAGGATATGCTGGTTTGATTCTGTACAGACAGTCCATGCGACCAGCGCATTATTTGGTGTACCGCGCGCTGGTTTGCAGCGCGACAATAGGTCTGGACGAGGTCTCCCCGCAGCATTCTTGACGATGTCCGTCAATAGTGAGGTCAACATCAAAGCCACAAACAGGCCGAGTACCGTCACTTGCGTCTTTTGGACACCAGCGCGAACCATCGCAGACCAAGCCAATATGATCAAGAAAGGAATGACTCCAGCAATGATGACAGACCACACTTATATCTAATTAATATTATGTGAAGTGTACACCGTTGCAAGGCGACTTACAAACAGGGACTCGTTCGTGGACGGCGAATGGGTATTGGATGGATTTGTTGTCAAGGGAGAACATGCGGTGGAATGGGTTTACAAATAACTGAATCTGTTCGATTGTTAGAAACCATCTAACATATTGGTAAGGGCAACTTACCAGGACCCATCCCATCACAAGGAACCCCAACGCGATGTAGTCGGGGCCATAAGAGTGTTGCGCAAACCGCGCTGCAGCCCCAGCGAGCCCAGCACGGTGTAGTATCGGGGTCGAATTATGCCCCGAGCCATTGTGAGCCATGCCGAAAAACCTTCGACGTCTTCGGAGAGCTTCAGGACAATGTAGTTGCTGAGGTCGAAGTCGCGGAGATTAAGGATACGCACGGACCATGCGGCCAACTCAACCTTGACCTTTCTCCATTTCCTCAACTGCACTCTTGCAATATGGCCGACGAAACCCAACAAAGGGTCGTAAATGCGGCATTTGCGCCTCCTCCACCGTTGTGGAAGCACTTCACACCTGAGAATATCAAGAAACTGGACCAGATCAAGACCGAAGCATCCAAGGGCGAAGATGGACGACCAAACAAGAAGAAGGAATGGTCGGCGCCGGACTTGCGCGCTCTAGAACTACCCTCAGAGCTTCGCTACCTCGTCCCACCTGATATCCCCGAAGGACCATACAGTGTGTTTGGCGAATTACAGGCTGTTGGTCTCCCCTCCCCCACGACCTAAGCTCCGATTCGAACGAGACTGACCACAATATAGCTGTCAACCGCACTGCCATCGCTGAAAGAACAAGGAATCGAACAACTTTACCCAGAACCCCCCGCAAGCACAACCGAACAAGACTCGCAATCCCCCGCTCTCAACCACGCATACTATCTTCTCAAGATCAGCAAGTCCCTGCTTCTCAACTTTTTAGAGTTCGTGGGCACTCTTTCAGTATCCCCAGAACAATTCGAATCCAAAGTTCAAGATTTGCGTAACTTGTTCATCAATGCGCATCATCTTCTTAACCTGTACCGTCCTCACCAAGCTCGTGAATCGCTTATCATGATGATGGAAGAACAGCTCAACCACAGCCGCGAGGAGATCAAACAAATGGACAAAGTTAAAGCAGATATTGAGAATGTTCTGGAGCAGCTGCAGGCGGAGGGCCGCCGTGTGGCACCTGGGGAACTGGAAAATACAAATGACCTGGCCAAGCCCGCGAAAGAGAGAGCTGATGCGCATTCCCAGTTGATCTGGGATTTGCTGGACAAAGAGAATTGAGCGGATCAAGACTTTTGATTCCTCTTCTCAAGCAACAACAACACCATGCGGCTCGACCAAAGAGATGGGTACCCGCGGATTCAACAACTTGCGTCCGAATATGGCACGCTGTTTGAAATGTGACTAGCGCGCCAGAAAAGCCAAAAAGGCGGATTCTCGTGTCAATTTTCAGTCGACCCCTCAACAAGATCCGAAGGAGATACCCAATATTGAACAACAAGTCCCTGTTAAGCTTGCCTCTTCAGCATGCCAACTGCGAGATTGGAGCCCCAGCCCCAAATCCAAAGTACGCGCATCTGTCCAGCGAGTTGAGCTGGTGCTCCGAACAAGAAGCTACCACCGAAAGTTGCCGCTGGCACTGCCAATTATCTGTTTGGCCCGATACGAGCAACGGCTGTGTCCCAGCCTCTCCTGGATCATACCAAGAACATCGAAATGTAAACTTGCGCCAAAAACGGCCACGGGGTAGCAGAGATCTATCAAACATTGTCTCCTCTTCTACCTAGTCTAGTCAAACGCAATACCCAGAAGTGTCTATTTAATATACGTCTATTCATTAATTTCTTCACATCATAACCCATGAACCCACGCTCCAGTGCGCCCCAAAAAAACAGAGGAAGAACCGGCTACTTACTGACCAGCACGCTGCTCAGCCCACGCCTTCTCAATGGCACACTCAGCCAATCGCTTCAATTCTATAATGAAATCAGCAACCAGCTTGAAGTGCTCAAGCTCGGACTCAGGCAGTTTCCGAGAAAAGATACGATCGATCATGACCGTAGCAACCTTCAGCCGGTCCAAGTCTTCCCGCGAGTGTGGATCCAATGGATTCTGCAGGATACTGCAGAATATGGTGAGCAGTGCAGACATCGGATAAAATATCAAGGTCCTGTAGTGATTAGCGCGGGCATTTGAAAATGGTATGTTGAGATACATACCAGAAAACACCATCAACCACCACATGTTCTGCTGCCTCGAGATAACACAAACTCGATCGACTGGCTTCGACTGAAAGAGCCATGCTGGAACTCACTCCATCCATCATACCGCTCTGGCCCTGTATCCATGCCTTGCACCGCCCGCTCGCTTGGTGAATGATAGTCATGCATAGGTGGTAATTCAACCGTAACATGACAGAGTGCATGTTCATGTTTGTATCTGAAGTTTCAGAGGAGAAAGACATTGTGGGTCGCCATTTTGGAGGTACTGAAAGTCGCCATTCTTCAAGTTCGTCGTCGAGTTCGCGAATCGACTTGAGGAGCTCGGCGTCTGATTTTTGGAAACTGCTGACAGTGTAGAGCTCGCGATGCGCTCGTCCTTTAATTATGCTGAGGCGTATATCAAATGGGAATACCGGGCCGAGGAACGGTGCCTCGTCATCGTCTACATCCAGGAATGCACGATCGAGATATCCAGCCGGGAGAGTGAGATCACAGTTTTCGTCGGTTATGGTGGGAGGTTGACCAGTTCGCAGGGCAAGATCTTTGTCAATGGTGTAGCAAATCCAAAAGAGATTGCGCAGTTGCTCCTGCTTTTGATGGCGGCGTGGATCTTGATTGAAGGTCTGGTCGCCGTTGAGATTGCCTCCAAGCATGAACATTAGTCGGGCTGATACCGCGGCATAGTAGTTGGTAGCCCGCATGTTTCCCGATGATAGCTCGAAGAGAGTCTGGGTATGATCAGCCTCAGACCAGTATATCTGCAGTTTGTTAACTCACCAGCATAGTCATGGCCTGGACGGAGTCAAGACTAGCAGCCTCTTGTAGGACTTGTGGCATTAAGAACATAATCCTAGTGGCAAGCATATCGTGGTCGATTGGGGCAATGGGAAAGTTGCCAACAATCTCGTTGACGGGAGGCAATCGTGAGACAAACGTTAAGAAGGCAATCACACATACCCGGGCGCTGGCTTGACCATATGTAAACGAGGAAAGCGACTGCCTGTATGCAGTACTGACTGTCTCCTCGAAAAGTTCTGTATCAACGACAGGGAAGATACGACGCATGACCTTGGAGCGCTTGTAAGCCTCAATGTAGACTCGCACAGTCCCCAAGTCAGGTAGTTCAAAGAAATTGAGGGTTTTCATGTTCATGAGCAAATTATTGAAACTTTGTCCACGTTGTTTCTCCCACGGTGCTCGTGCCGGAGATAATTTATCGAGTGAAACGGGTTGCCCAGTGCGAGCCGTGATCCATTCCTGTCCCTCAGGGAAAAGGAACGGCGTCCCAGTCAGTAGACTTATTACACCCAGCTCTTTACCTGCAAAGTGGACTCGTACTGACGACGAGTCTGGAGGCTGGTTGGTGCTGGGTGAATTGCTCACGGTGGTAGTATCGTCCACTGATTGAGGAGATTTGGGCACTGACAACCATCAGCTATGAGCTTATAGTTCTCACAACATTCACTTTACATGAAAGTTGGTCACCCCGCAGATTCTCTGCGAGAAGTTGCTCGATGCGACTGATTCGTTCTGAAAGCCGTGAGACTTTCGGGCGACTACTCCGTGTGTTCGGTTAGTGTAGCACCAGGAGGAAATAGACTCAAACTGACGCTTGCTCTTCAGGCCCTTTCCGTTTCCTCTGGATTACCCTGTCGAATGTACAGGGCATATTGTGGTGGCTACACCAATTACATTGCGGAAGTGCGGCATCGCATTTGATCTAGCGCAGGTTAGCTATACTCCGGTATCTCAGGGGCTCAGGTGTACCTTTCGTCTGTAGCACGAGTCACAGGCTCGAGCAGTCCGCCTCCGAGACTCTCCATCAGAAGCGGGTTCCATTGTATGTTCGACAAAGAAGCTGTGAAATATCCACGGGTCTCCGTGAAGAACGCCGAGGCCCGCTGACACAGACCCGCTGACTCATCCTAAATATGGGCCCCGGAGCCAACATGGAAGGTTTAAGGACCGGGGGAGTATACAACTACAGGGCTGAGAATTTAAATAAGTCTTAGACTGATTCCAATTGAAAGACCGAATATGAAGTGCATTCACCCCAAAGATTCCACCATCGAAATCAAAATTCAAATCAAAAAGATGCATAGGCCCCGAAATTGATATTAGATTAAACGCAGCATACGGTGTACTCTGTGCCCATCTCGCATCTGTGTATCTCAATGATGTGCCCCCTTGATTCGGCGTTGTTAACAGACCAGTGTCCAATGATTCAAGAGGGGGAGTAGATCGTGGTATTCGTAGATCGAAAGAGAACAAGGTTGTACCCGAGTACCTCACATCACTGTACAGATACAGCAATCGCACTCTTCATCGCCACAATCGCATCCAAAACAAGGTTTGGTCACTGGCTTGATGGGTTTTGTGATAGAGCTACTGGCGCTAGAGGGGAGGGTGCAGTCGACCGGAGCCGAGATAGAAGTGACGGCCATAGCGAGTAGATCTATGAAACGATTAGGCGGGAAACAATTAGGGAAGGGAACAACACACCGAGTCCAAAGACAGCGAGAGACGTAGGGCTGAAAACAAGCGGGGTTTGGGGAGAAGAAAAGGGAAAGTCAGGACCAGGCAGCCATATATTGTTCCCACTTGAAACTGCCGAGAAATCGACAAATTGGGGAAACAAATTGGGGAATACTACTTTTAAGTCACTTTAGAGTCTGGGTCTTGACGGGGTAACGCCTATCGGTATGGGTTCGCCACGTCACAGGGTCTCATACTACGAGGCATATAGTATCTCGACCTGGATACCTAACGTGGATATTTGCGACCTAAACGCTTCTATGGAGATTAAGCCGAGACCTACTCCGTAGACACCGCCAATTACACCACCACTTGAATACACTACAGGTTTACAAGAAATTGAATATAGAATCAAAGTATGCAGTCATTGACAGTATGTACAGCAGCAACTTTTGAGGGGTTCATCAATCATCGCCACAGTGACTGGGGTATCTTCTAGTCATCTCGGGCGTCCAAGCCATCCGTCTATCCATTAAAAATCCTTTTTTGGGGGGTTCATCATCAATCAATAAATATGCGCAGATTACAGCTGCTCCACCCAGGGGGCGGCACCAGCCTGCATCTGGTTGAGCCACTTGACGAGCTCAATGAGCTCCGCCCGGCGCTCATCCTCCAACTGGTCTTCATCGCCGGTCAGGACGTGTTGGAAGACAGGAAGGAGGGAAGGAGTGAGCTCGCGGACGGTAGCATCCTCCCACTTGTACAGCTGGCAGATCATGCGGTACAGGGGCTCGTTCTCCTCGAAGTCGTTCTTCAGGGGAAGAATGTTGACAAGGGCGGGGAGGACGTCCTTGACGGGGACACTGTCGCGGTAGCGCAAGATCATGCGGCTGACGCAGCCAGTGGCGTTGTCCTGAAGGCGTGAGACGTCCATCTGGAGGCAAGACTCGAGACGGCTGAGAATGGTGGGGATCTCCTTGGAGATCTCGGCCTCAGCGTTCGAGTGTTGGATCAGACGGCCAACGGCGTAGGCAGCGTTGGACTTGGTCTGGGGGTCCTCATCCGCAAGGCGGTGAAGCAGAAGCTTCAGGAAGACTCCGGTGTAGGGGGTCACGGAGGCACCCATACCGTTGATGCACTCAGCAAGGACACCGACGGCAGTGGCACGCTCGAGAGACTCAGTGCTTCCGGCGTAGCGGAGGATGGTCTTCTCAAAGACCTTCCAGAGCTCAGCGAAGCTCTGGCCGAGGGCAGCAGCCATGCCAGAAACGACGTCCAAGGCAGTGTCGACAACAACCCAGTCAAACTCGGAGGTCTCTTCACCGGCCTCGAGGGCCTCATCTTCGGGTCCGAACTCAACCTGGCAGATGTGCTGCTTGGTGATGATATCGGTGACCATAGTGATGACGTTGTGAAGCATGGTCTCGTTGGAGATCAGGGCGGGACCACAGAAGCGCAGGTTCTCGGCCATGTTGCGGTTGATATCCGCGACGGTAGAACTATTTATCAGGTCAGCAATCGAATGTCCTGAGTCGATGAGTGATAAATGAAGCAATAAGAAGATTTCTCAGAGTGTAGACTTCGCCGTTTACATCAAGTGTGCTTTTTTGCACATCAAAGTGAGCTGGGTTAAGCGGAAAAAATCATCATAGAAATTATGGGCAAGGGGTAGCAATGAAGAAAAGAGTGAAACATACCGGTCGTCTTCCTCGGTCCACATCTTGACAGTGGCAGTCATGAGGATCTCACCGAACTTCTGGACTTCCTTAGCAGGCTGAACCTGGATGGGAAGACCAGGCTGCCACTTGGCCATCTGGCCAGTCTCCTCAGCAATGGTGAAGAGCATGGCGTAAGAGCGGTGCAGGGTGCTGATGGTGCTCTTGCGAACACCCTCGTAAGGGTGCTCACAGAGGGGCATCACGTGCTCAATTGTCTTCTCGAAGTAGGGCAAGAAAGAGCTGCGGGTGTGGGTGACGAGATCACCGATGACTTCGACGGCGATCTCCTTCTCAAGAGACAGAGGAGTAGTGGCAGTGATGTCATCCCACTCATCCTCGTCCTCAAGGTCAACGTCTTCGATGTTGTCATCATCCTCGTCCTCGGCGCTCGCGACCTTAACCTTGCGACCGTTGAAGGTGACTTCTTGGCCGACAAGATCCTTGGCAGCACTGCCGAGGTCGACATCGAGGTCGTTCTCGTCCTGCTCGATGCAGTCGAAGAGACCCTTCACGACACCGTCAAGGAAGGGAGTGAAGTGCTCGCCGTAAACCTTAGCCATGGCACCCCAGAAAATGTAGGTGCTCTCCTTGAGACGGGAGTGGCCGAGGTGGAGGGCCTCCTCAGTAGCGCGCATGAGAGGCTCAACATACTGCTGGTAACGCTCGGGACCAGCGGCAGCAGCCATCTCACCCATAGAGTCAGTGACACTAGCGCGGAGATCGAGCTCATCCTCGGAGTCCTTGACGGCAGCATACTCCTGGAGGAGGTGCATAGAGTCATCGAAGAAGGACAGGAAGGAGTCGCCGGCAGATGATGCGAGGGAGCCAAGGGCACCGGCAGCGAGGGCCTTGATCTTGAAATCGGGGTGCTTGAAGAGGTTGTGCAGGATAGGCACGAGCTCAGCCTGGTAAGGAGCGACGTCCTTCTCATCCAGACCATCGACGACAGCATCGATAGCGCTGATGCCAGCCTTGATGATGTCAAGGATTGGGCCTTCCTCCTCGCCCTTGTATTCTTGCATGGCAGTGGCCAAGTTTTGGAACAAAAGGGGCATGAGACGAGCGTGCTCGGCGGCAAGGTCCTCAACAAGGTCCTCGGCGAGACGAGCAACGGAGTGCAAAGAAGCCTGGCGGACCTTGGGGTCCTGATCAGCAAGGAGCTGAAGAACCATGGGGAAGATCTCCTTCATCTGGGTGCTGATGAAATCAGGGGCGCCCTCAACACACATGCCGAGAGCCATAATACCGGCGCGGCGGTAGTCGGGGTTGGCACTGTTGAAGTACTGACCCAGAGAGTTGAGCAGGGGAACGACGACCTGGCTGGGGGGCAGGCTCTGGGAGAGAATGTCAAGCAGACCAAGAGCAGAGCGAGCAGGAGTGATGTCATCATCACCGATAGCGACGTCGCCGAGCTCGGTAACGATCTGGAGAGCAGTGCGGGTGAGGTCCTCACCGATGCGCATACCCTGAACCTTGAGCTTGCGGTATTGAACAGTCTGCATCAAGAAGCTGATAGCCTGTGTGCGAACATCCTCATCGACCTCTGTGTTGGCGGCGATCTGGTTCATGAGGATCACCAGGTCCTTGAGGTGGACGGTAAGAAGAGCAGGGTCGAAACCAAGGAGGTTCTGGAAGACCTCGAAGCACTGAAGGATGTGGTCTTCTTCGTTCTTCTCAATTGAATCCTTGAGAATAGCAACGGCGGCAGGCACGAGTTCCTGGAAGGCCTTGACGGGGGCCTCATCCTCCTCAGAGTCAAGGTGACTAGCGAGCTTGCCCAATGACATGAGAGTGTTAATGCGAACCTCGGCGCTTTCGGGATCCCGGATAGTCTTGTTGAAGAGAGCGAAAAGCTCTCCGAATTTCTCCTCGAATCCTTCACCAATGGTGTCCAGGATGGTGCAGAGAATGTAGATGGCGACGGCACGCTCAGTAGCGTTGCCACCGTTACCAGCCTGCAGAAGGATGTTGGGCAGGTCAGCCCACTCGCCATCGACGAGATCAATCTTGGCAATAGCGGAGATTATCTGAGCAATTGAGTGCTGAACGAGCAGAGAGCTCTCGCTCATGGTAGAGCGGAGCAGCTGCTCACGAATCTGGGGCTTCTGGTCGGCGGAAACCTTCAACCAGAGCTTCGAGACGAGAGTGCGGGACTCCACGGAAGCGAGCTGGCGCAGGTTCTGGTCATCGTGGGTGGTGCAGATCTGGATCAGGAAGACAAGAGCCTCGGGCTTGTTGTAAAACTCCTTCTGCAGAACTCCGGTCGCCTCCTTCAGATTTCCCTGGGAGGCTGGAAGAACGTTAGCATCGAGTCTGGTGTTTTTTCCACCGGATGATCAGACTTACGATCCAGAATGATCTGCAGCTGCTGCAAGAATCGCTGTTGATCCATGATGGAAGAATGTGTAGGAAATTTCCGATTTTTTTTCTTTTCAACAAACCTAGGTCTCGAAGAGACTCAGGCAAAAAGAGCAAAGATTGAGCAGTCTGTCTCAAGACAAACAGCTCAAATGGGGTATCACAAAGCAAGTATGGACAAGGAAGAAAAGGAAAAAAAAAAGGAAAAGAGAGATGAAAGAGAGAAGAAGAAAAAGGAGAGTGGTGGGGGGAGAAGAAGGAAGAAGAAGAAAAAAAAAAAGTTAGGGGAGTGGGTTACGTTCCGAAAGCAGTTTAGTGCGGGAACCAATGTCAACACACGGGATTTTGGGCATCGAGTCTCTTCTCTTTTTTACGGAGTACATGACTTCATGTGCATCCACTGTCCTACGTGTGTGTGCCACCAATTGCTCTTTTCTTAGTGAGGAAGAAAATACAATGCCAGGGCTACTATCCTCATTGCAATATCTTAAATCAAAAGTATTGAAGCACACATAATCCGAGAAAGAAAGAAAGAAAAAAAAACTCCGTCAATAGTACTCCAGTTCCTGATGGAGACCATGTGCTTCCACCAGTAAAATGACGCCGCTGGGAGAGTTGTTTACCATCCGGCCCTTCCAGGACCCACTCAAGTCCCAAATAAACGAGACAGTTAATATTCGTCGGACTCGTAGTCATCATGGAGCAGAGAGGCACGATAGCCACGTGAGGCAAGGTTCGCCTCGAGGCCACCATCAGAGGCAGGGTCAAAGTAACCTAGATAGCACAGTCAGTCAAATTTGCAAGAGTTTCATATAGAACAATCAAAACATACCACCTCCGCCGAAGTAGCTGAGCGCTACTGGTAGGAAGATCAGGGCGTGGATGGCGGCGAAAATCACCAGGGCCAGCCATACCCGGAAGTAATAAATCTCAAAGATCTTGCTGCGGGTAAATGCCAGAACACAAACTCCGAGAAGTTTGGTGATGGTGATGCCGCTGAACACGCTTCCACCGACATTGACCAATGCAGTCCATGCTCGAGCGTCTTTGCCGCGGTATTTGGCAGGGACTTTCTCCATGATAGGGCGAGCTGGGAACATGAAGGCACGAGCGATATGGGCGCAGAACTCGACACCAATGCCAACGCAAATGACCAAATTAACGAGAGAAACGGCGTTCAGCGAGACACCGGCGATAGCCATAGTGCCAATGATGTCAACCACGATCATGACCACAGTAGTGGTGACGACAGCGCCAGTGGCGATGGATCCCAAAATCACAGAGGTAAGGAGGAAGATGATAGCAACAGCGGACCCAAGAAGGGTGCCAGTGAGTCGAACAATAGAGACGTATTGATCGAAAAAGATGTAGAACTTGGAGTATGGGAAGACATCGATGTTGTGCTCGCGAGAGATGTCATCTGCAATGCGACGAGCTGCGATGTAAGACTGGATGAAATCGTCCTGGCTGTGGAGAGGTGTGTGGCTTGTACGGAAATGGCTAGCATTGATTGTTTGGTGGGCTTCGTCAATGACCAAAGCATTGCTGTAAGGCGCCTTTCCACCGAGAGGACAGGATGCATCAGTAGGGGCATCAATCCACTTCTTGACGTAGTGGATGAACTCAGATCCTTCTGGCATTCCGGAAAGTGAGATGTTCCATGCAGGAACTCGGTCCTCGAAACAGATCTTGCCATTCTCTCGACAGCAATCTTGTTGTGGATTCAGCCAATAGAAGAAGTCATCAATCCAACTGGCCGCTGAGCCCGTCAGGTAAGAGACATCGGGTCGCTTGGATTCCTGCTCAAGGATAAATGGCAGGGAGTACTCTTCACATGTGGTGAATCGCCCACAGAGCTGTTGTTGATGATCTCGCTCCGTGACATTTACATGCCGGGTCACAAAATATACCGGGGGGCCTGTACCGAAGTATTCATCCAGATCATTGAAGTACGGGATCAGGTACGAGTCGCTCGGAAGCGCAATTCGCTGATCCAATCCGAGAGGAACCTTTGGAATGAAGGCCAGGCCGGCGGTCAGAAGGCCCAAAAAGAAGATGACAACACCAGCCTTGACCCGACGATCCAGAAGGAAGGGGGCGTAGATGCGGCGAATGAAGGACTGAAGAGTACTCTCTGCTTCTTGATCATCATATCGCTCGTCGGGGAAGCCAAACGAGTTCGCCTTTCGCACGGTAAGACAAGGGATGCAGTCTGCGCGGAGGCTCTGTACTCGTCGTTGGTTGAGAGCGAGTACAGATATGAACATGGTGACTTGCAAAATCGCGTTGATGAAGACAGCACCGGCAGCGTATGCGGCGAAATTCTTCACGGCAGGCATCCCGACGAACACTCCGAGAGCAAAGGCCACTGTCTCTGTCAAAGCAGACAAAAAGATACTAGGGCCGATTCGACTAACGGCTCTGGCAACTCGCTCATCGATCTCCTCATCAGGATGGCTGATGTTGACTCGCTCGAATTCATGGACTATGAGGAAGATGTTGTCCACGCCGACGGCCAAAACCAGGAATGGGATGACCTCTGCAATGATCAAGGTAACCTTCACTCCGGCTGCCGAGAACAATCCAACTGATGCCGAAACAGACATCAGAACAATGACGATACCCACAATTCCCAGAGTGAACTTGGACTGCACCAGTGCGTTGGATGGGTTGGTAAGCAGGGACCTCCAGGTAATAGTTGCTGACCCTAAGGCAATTGAAGCGTAGAAGAACATGATCAGATAACTGATTACAACGATCTTCGCGTCGGTGTTGGTAGATTTGTTCAGTTCCTGTTCCAAGCTGACTTCGGAGTTGAATGATACGCGAAGACCTCGCTGAGCAGCCTCCTCTTGGGCATTCTTGATGAGATTTTGGAAACTGTCCTCCCATTCCATGGCTTTCTGCTCTGCTTCTGATCCTTGAGCATGGTTGTTTACAACCCAAGTCACAACGAGAGCCTTGGCATCCAGCACGTTTCCGGTGTCTTCGTAGCCGCCAAGGATCATTTCGGGCTTAAGTGGCTGTGAGAAACCCGGGAGGCAGTTAAGATCTCCCGGAGATTCGGTACATTGCGTTAAGCGATCCTTCCAGGTATCTGGGTCAAGATTTGAGACGTCACCACCGAAATACCCAGTTATGGATTGCACAACACAAACATCCCCCGTGGGCTTGAAACAGACGTCATCTAGGCTGATCCCCTGGTTCAGAGACATCATCCGCCTCACACTTGTCTCAACCTCAAACCACCACACAAGTGTCTCATAATCCAAAAGCGGACGAGAGTCGTTTGATGGGCGATCGTTCACCAGGAAAACCTGCTCTGCCCGGAAAAACGGACCAAAGTTCTGGTCAAAGAAGTCCTTCTCCTGAGCAGCAGCAGAAGATGGGCTCACCCATAGACGTACGGGGTCCGTTTCAACAGCGAAGCGTAACCAGCCCAGGCTCATGAGGACCACCACAACGACGCTGGATGAGATTGTGATGGCTGGGAACCGGGCACATGCACCGCCGATTCGATGGAACAAGGCCGATAAGACCGAGTTGAGCTTATAGACTCCTTGGGGCTTCTCGATATACCCAGCACGCCTCACAATCTCTCCCTCGTCCTCGTCATCGCTCGGTGTAGGGTCTTGCAGCAGGCGTACCCGCTCTGGTTTGCGGAACCGGCGTTCCTTGTATGTGACCCAACTAGCAAGAGTAATGACAAACATCAGGAATGCAGAGTAAACGATGATGACGGCAAAGGACAAGCATGGCAAAAGTCCTACATGGCATGCCTTGGGGGGAGAGATGGCAGGCAGCTCGGGGCAGACATCAGGGCAATCGACACAAGAACAACGGAAGTTCTTATCTGGATCATTGCAGGCCTTGGGACTCATTGGCAGAGCCTCCATGCCTTGCGGATCGGGGCCAGTAGGCTCTGTGTGGTAGTTGATCTGGAACGGACTCCCAAGGAACTTCTTATCGCCCAAGAACTTCATGAACTGGGTGTAGTCTTTCGCACCGCCTCCGATGAAATCTATAGCCTTGCCACCGGAAGCACCGTTCTTGACATTCTTGCAGCTATCGTAGAACCCACTTTGATATTCCTCGGACCAAATGTTGTCGATTTCAGTCACCAATCGCTTGCCAGAGCTGTGTTCTTCGGTTTTAGTGACATTGACGAAAAGCGATTGATCTGGAGAGCATGTGAATGTACAAAATATGTTGAAGAAGTTGTCTCGGCAGGCGGGACACGATGCGATGATTCCTTCGGCAAGTTTGAGGTTCCGTCCAAGGGCATCGATCTATACAGTAATGATCAGGATATGGACTGGAAAATCAGGGGCAGAATTGCAGGGCCATGTTCATTAGAAGCTGGAGCTTTCTTACCTGTTCATCGCGACAGCAGACCGGGCCTTCGCTCCATTTGCTCCCGCAGAGATTCACCAGTTTCTCGCGTACGGAGTCCTCGGGTTGCTGTGCCAGGTCATTGTCAGGGCAGGGGAGCTCCCCACCAAAGATAGATTGCTTTCCACAATGACCACGTATGGCGCAGCGACCCTTTTCATGGGTCTTGGTCTCTCCCTGTGCTCCCACGAGCGTGGGTGCAAGTGAGGCTAGCCCAACGACTGTAGCAATGACCCCTGGTAGTTGCATGGTGCCGAGATAAAGAGATGGCCACCAAGAGCTTATTCTTCGGGGCTCTCAATAGAGACGCCTGGGAGGGTGGTGCTCCACTAGCGATCGATGGCCATGCACCCTTCGTTCGCTCCGTGTGGAGAAATGGGGCAGGTCTGGTTCAGGAGCTGGCTGTAGGAGATACGGAGTATGTGTTGATTTAAGAGGAGAATAAATGTCAAATAAGCTATGATCGATGCAGTATCTCAAGTGGTGGTTATAGTAAAAGACGGGTGGAGGTGAAACAAAAGAGCAAAAGCAAGCTTTCGATGAGTGACGTGAAGGCGGAGGACCTGGATGGGACTACATCCGTCCCCCGCACGGCCACACTACTAACCAATGCTGCACTAACGTCAGGCACAACAATGCTGACAATTGGCACTTCGTGGCTCTGATCATTTTCTTCTAATCTTGGCAAGGATTGATGGCTACCAGTAGGTTTGTGATTTTATTACGGTGGACACAAGCGATTATTAAGTAGGGTTTGATTTCCACCAGCGCCCCAGTGACAGACAGGATGTAGTGCGTAAATATGTCAACCTAAGATGCACATCAACCACAGGGGTATTGATCGTTCATTCATTTGGAGATTAAAAAGAAGTGAAAACTACAAATAACATACTCCGTGCAACTGACCGAGTCCAAGTCATAGCGCATTCTATGAACAGGAAAATCCGAGCCTCTAGATAGAGACAGATATAAGTGTATCTACATCGCCAATGGTTCAGTCAGCGATGAGAACAAATGTGAGGCGCATAAAACAACCGAGAGGTATCAACGAATGAGACAAGTAGGAAAGTGACATGGCCATTGACCGAATTGGAACATCACAATTGGGCTTGGCGACCTGATTGCAACTTAATAACCTTCATCGTCGGTTTTCTGGTAGATGTGACGGGATCGTGTGGGATCTTTGCGCATGGTCTGACCGGAACCTGTAAATCCGACTAAATTGGGAAAGAGGAACAAAGTTAGCCTTGTCATTGGAGATCCACGTCGGGGAAAATCAAAACATACCTCGTGCATTGACACCTTCACCAGTTCGGAACATGCTCTCCTTCTTTCCAAACTTGCCCTTGCCCTTGGTCTTGGCAGCGAAGTCCTTCCACTTATTCTTGCCTTCCTCCAGCTCCTTGTTTGCCTTCACTTTGCGAGGGGCCTTGGCCGGACGAGGGGGCCCATCACTAGCCAGGCTCGGTTCACTGCGAGCTTGAGTGGCCAGTACGGGGTTAATGTCTGCTGCGGCGGAGATTACACCGGGGGGCGCGGGCGAGGGAGACGCCGAACTGCCTGGGGTTCCATCAGCCTTGCGCTTGCGAGAGTCAGAGCCAGAAATGGGTCGGAGATCCTTTGCCGTCAAGTTTTCCACAGTCGCATATGATTTGAATGACACCAGATACATGGGATTGGTCGATGAGCCCGTCATGGAGGTAATCTTGGCCGGGTAGAAGGCGTTGTCGCCAGAGACCCAGCGTGCGAGGACATTATCATTCACTGCAAAGGAAGCGGGCGCTGAGGGTGTAGGTGCATCCTCCTTGTCCGCCTTCTGGAAGCTATTATTCTTAAATCGGTTTTCCTTGGGCGCAGTCTTGGGTGCGGCAGCTTGTTGTTCGGCTTTTTGTTCGGCAATGGCGATTTCAGTCAAGCTGATCAGTTCTCCAAGCTCAGCTTGAAGACTCGCAAGCTCTGTGTTATCAGGATCTGCCTGCAAGCTGGAGACAACTGTTTCATACTGCATGCATGTTAGTGGCGATATGACGCGTGAGGGGATTGGCGACTAACCTGCAGTTTGAACTCCTTCAGTTCTTCTTCCTGAGCAGCAATGTCAGCCATGGTGTAAGCTGAGTTGATCTATGCACACGCAAAGATAGTTGCAGAATGCTAGAAGTGTAAATGTTGATCCGGAGAGGAATGCAATGGGGATTGCGGAGATCGAAGATGCCGCAAATTCATACTGCCATAATGTCACGTGCTTGTTCACCGCCAATGGAGGCCATGACCTTGGGAGTGAGATCATCTTGGTCATCTATCCCCAGGGCGGTGAATGCACGGGAGTACGAGTACAGTACTCTCTACGAATATGTCCAGTCGCCTGGGTACCTAAGGTATGAGTATATGAAGAGCCATTTGGATGATAAGCCTAGTACTATTTAAACGTATTTGAAGTACTTCGTACAGACGGAGTACTCCGTACAATGTACTTCATGTGCAAGTCTACCAGGTTTAGGATGTGATAAGGTCATAAGCCCAAACCCGGTACTCCGTATTCCGTAACCCACTTGGGATCGGCATCATGATATGCAATATGCAGGCTAAAACGGGGCTTAATTACCCCGGAGCCTGTCTTCCACAGACTCCAGGATGTGCCCATTTTATCTGTTGCCAAAGTTTGCAACTTTGCCCCTAGCAGTGGTAACGTCATCGAATGGTCTGATACTTCATAGATCTCGGACCGGGAACACAACGTGGGGCCCCGAAAGTCGGAGAGCTAAGTACACGTACAATGGACGGTGTAGCTGTACACTATGTACCTAGTGAGTCATCTGCAGGAATAATATTTTTGTAAAAAGCTTAAAAAAAGCTCGCAAAGATCCACATGGGGAATGAAAAAAAGAAAGGAAAAAAAAAATAGGAGACATGGAGGCAAGGAGCCAATGGAGCCGGAAGAAAATAAGTAGGCAAGAGAGATTCTAGAAGCAACCCTCTTATAATGCACGTCGTACTGTGGTGAACCCTGAACGGGCTTTCGTCGGGCCGCGAAGGACATTTCTAAGCAACGAAACCGGCAAAATAATCTGTCCGAAACGCCGCGATCTGCACCCAATCATCACCTCAGGATAATCACCGCCTGTCGGTGATCGCCTCCCCCCCCCTCCAGTCATACTCTCGCTTTGATCATTTCTCTTAATTAACTAACTTGGCCTATATTTCAATACTGGTCTGCCTGACTGCGCTTTAAGTCTATCGTGCAATCGGGTTGAGCCACAATCTACCGCAATTTGACTAGCGGGCTTTGAGATTCTCGCCTCAGGCCCCTCTTGAGAGCCTCTTGCAACCTTTCTTCCCCCTCCTTCTACATCATCTTGACTTTCTGTACTTCGGTTCCCGGTCCTTTGTACTAGCCAATTGTATCCCTGGGATACAGTGACTGGCCATCCTTGCCTTGTCCAGCTTACGTCCATCGCTCACCGTTCTCATATCTCATAATTTGTCACGGGCCTGAAGGGCCCGGTTGACTCTGTGTGAATCCATCCGATCTCGTTGCATCTCCGATCTCCGTTACCCTTGACCACTCCCGTCTTTTTTTTTGAATCATTCCTCATCATGGGTGATTACGAGCAACGATACCAGCAGGGTCTTTACCTGTCTCCAAATCAACAGGACCTTCTGCTTGCTGCTCTGACTTCCAACAACCCAAACGCCAAGCGGCAGAGTGGCACTCCCCCGATCAAGACTGACCAAAGTCCCGATCAATCTTTGGATAGTCTCAGTGCTCCGCCGTCTGGGGGATTTGATAATGGCCACAACTTCACCTACGGGGAGAACGATAGCCCTTACTTGGACTTCACACCTGATTTGGACTTCGAGTTTCCCGGCTCTGGGGATTTGATTGGCGATCTGCCTGGGTCGACCTATGACATCGGAGAAAAGCGGAAGTCCCTCGACGGAAAGTCAGACATTGAAGGCGAGGAGAATGGGAAGAAACGCAGAGAAAGTGAGGCTAAAAAGCCCGGAAGAAAGCCACTCACTTCAGAACCGACTACGGTATGCTTCTCTTTCAAGCTGGCGGGACTGGGCCATGAACTAACCCATTCAACAGAAGCGCAAGGCACAGAACCGGGCCGCCCAACGGGCGTTCCGTGAGCGCAAGGAGAAACATTTGAAGGATTTGGAAGACACGGTGGAGTCGCTGCAAAAGAAATCAGACACGACCACCCAAGAAAATGGCTTGCTGCGAGCCCAGGTTGAGCGATTGCAAGTCGAGCTCCGCGAGTATCGGAAGCGTCTCTCTTGGATGGCTTCGGGGTCTGGCAATGGAATGTCGGCGCTAAGCTCAAACTCTGTTCCAAATGCCCAATCGAAGGGAGTTTATGGTATTCAAAATAATGAGTTCCTCTTCGATTTCCCCAAGTTTGGGGATTTGCCCGGCGGTCACCTCTTCAACGGCCAGGCCAAGAACGACCAATCAAAGACCAGCGACAGCCCCCGACCACCCGGCGTGTTGGCTCGTCAAACCTCGAATGGACCTTCATCTCGGTCCAACTCAGCAGGAGCAGGCTATGCTAGGTCAGATGGCTCTAAGTCCCACGGCACTCCTAACAGCGCCACATCCGCCAAAGGACCGGATTCTGGCTACAGGTCTTCCACGCACACACATGACAATTCGACGTCGCAGAACTCACCGTCATCTTCCTCTGACTCTCATCAAAGCCAGTTGCTCTCGTCTAATGGCACTTCTCCGGAACCAAGCCTTAGCTCACCGGGTGGAAAATACCGTGAGCTTGGCCCCGGTGACGCCTGCGGCGGCCACATCACTACCGATGGCGAGAAGTCTTTCTGTGAGCAACTCGGAATGGCCTGTGGCAATATTCGGAACCCCGTCCCCGCAGTCCGGGATGGAAAATCACAGAGTGTCTCAAGTAACCTGCCCACCCCGACCGACAATACCGCCGTTGAAGACGATTCCCAGGATCTCGGAATCGATTGGCTGGCTCACCAAAATGGTGGTCAATTTGATCCAGTGCTCTTTGGTGACTGGCGAGAGCCTCAAGATGCCGTTCTGTCTCAAGACTTTGGCTCTTTCTTCAATGATGCGTTCCCCCTGCCAGACCTAGGCAGCCCATCTCATAACCTGAGTGAGGCCGCCGTTGATTCACAGCCCAAGAAGAGCCTCATCGCCCAGATTGACCACAAGGCCGAAGAAGACGAGGTTGTTCCCGGCGAAGACCAGTCACAGATGCTATCGTGCACAAAGATTTGGTATGTTCAACCTCACCCACAAATTCGCTCGCCACAAACTAATCTCTTCTCTCTTAGGGATCGCCTGCAATCGATGGAAAGATTCCGTAATGGCGAGATCGATGTCGACAATCTTTGCTCTGAACTCCGCACCAAGGCACGCTGCTCCGAGGGAGGTGTTGTCGTCAACCAGAACGACGTCGACGACATCATGGGCCGAGCCAAATAGTTACTACTTACGAACACGCCTCACCTCGCCGCAGGCTCATTTCACGATTCACGGACCCCATTCATTTTCGCGCTTTTGTTTACTTCGCATACCCACCATCGATATGTCATTTATGGAAGGAATTCTGCTCGGCGTCATGAAGACAATTCGGATACAAAGAGGCCACTCACCTATCAAAGGAGAGCGCTCTCCTCGTTAGGAAACCCCCCCCCCATATCACAAAACAAAACAAAACATATCATACTCACAGTTGGCCATCACTCTTTTTTTTTCGGGAAGGCATCGTCTTGACTTTCCATTCCTCTCCTTTACCATCTTCTTTTTCTTCTATGCTGTGTTGAAACGATTTAAATTTGCGATCTAATTGCTTTTTGACTGCTTTTTCTACGCACTAAGCTTGGCGAATGGATATCGGCCATCGGTCGTCGGATACTTAAACACGGAACAGAAAGGCTGACTGGAATTTGCGGGAGAGGATGACTTGCATTGTTTAGCAATGTCTGTACACTCTTATTGTTATCTTTATTTGTACACAATTCACATGAGTCTTGGAATTTTCTTGCGATTGAGATCGAGGCGTAGCTATTCTAAAGTTATGGGCTTAGGCATAGTGTTTGTGCCTCCTGTCATGGCCTAAACACACCTGGGCACTATTGTCTACAGAGTAAGCAAATACTATTCAATTTTACAAAATCCAGAAACATTAGACGAAGCTGTAAGGGTATCGATATGGTGTCCACGTAAAAAGAACTAAAGTACACAAAGAAAAAGGGTTTGATCTTTTGGTTTTTTTTTTTCTTTCTTGCGATGTCCTCTGCATCTTGTCTGCCTTCAACAAATACTCCCCAATGGCTCACCATAACCCTCAGATCCAAAGTCCAGATTCACATAAAGATTTGTGATGAGCTTCTCCCGTGCCATGCACCAGGCGAAACAAATCAAGTGTGACCAAACTCCATAAATGAAAAAAAAGGTTGAGGCAAATGAAGAAATAAAAAGAGGACGCAAAGAATTAGAGTATCAAGGGGGGGTGAACATGGGACGAATAAAATCAGCCATCGAAAATGAGCGATAGCCAGTAAAAATATGAGACGAAGAAAATCTAGTGTCACCTATTAGGCGTCACCAGAGGCGGCAGGCTTCTCAGAAGGGGCAGGGGAATCGGCGGAACCACTGCTCTTGAAGCCACCGCGACCACCACCGCGTCCGCCACGACCACGTTCACCACCACGGCCGCGACCACCGCGGCCACCGAATCCACCGCGGCGAGCACCTTCGCTGTCACTGGCGCTGGCGTAGCCACGCTGGCCAGCATTGCCACCACCACGGGTGCTAGCTTGCCAGGTACCGGCGTTACCAACTCCACGGTTAGTGTTGGTACGCTCCTCGAAGAACTTGAAGTTGGTCTTGCGGGGTTGGCCAGGGACGGGAGCCTTTTTGTTCTCGACAGGCACGCGATCCAAAGCAGCCTTAGCGTCCTCGTGAGAAGCAAAGGTCACAATGTGATTGTATTTTCCATACTTGTCGATCTTAAGGACCTTGGACTGGTCTTCTTCCGCCAGGAGATCGCGGATAGATTGCTCGTTATCGGCGCTGGATACGAAGAAAGCAGTGCTTGGCTTCTTCTCGCGAGGCGGAGCAGGAGATTCGGCCTTCTCATGCGGACCAGTACCGTTGGTATCAGCAGTGACCTTTTCCTCTCCAGCAGGAGAGGTTGCGGCAGCAGTAGCAGTCGCGGGAGGCGCGGGGCTAGCGGACTTGGGAATAACGGGAATAGGTGAGGCCCGGGGTCCCTTTTGGCCCTGGGGGATGGGAGCGCGGGCAGGAGGAGCTTGGCCGAATTGAGGAGCCACGACGGGGGGACGGGCAGCACCGGTAGGACCGGGAGAAGCAGTGGTAGCCGGAAGACCGCTGGATACAGGTTGGGGGGCACCGCCTGCCTGAGGCTTGCCGGTGCGGTGGGCGAAGTTGAATCCCTGAGCCCGCATTTCTGTCGCAATGCGGCCACCCTCGATCTCCAAGACCAGATATCCGAAAGCAGCATCAGCCAGGTTGAAGTTCCACATGTTCTTGAAAGCACTTTCATCAACTTGGCCAGCCGCGTTGCCAGCGGCAACGGGGCCACCGAAGGGGTTTCCACCATTGGCAATGGAAGGCATCTTGGTCACGACATCCAGCGCATTCTCCAGCAATGTCTTCTGCCCATCGTTTGAAGAGATAGCAGACTCGACCTCACCACGAACAGTCTCCCACACATCAGTGAAGGAAGCCTTGGAAGCAGCAAGCTTGCCGCGGTAGTGATCAAGAGAAGGGTTGACGGAGAACTCGTTGTATGAAGATCCGTAACGGAAGTGAAGACCGGCGGAGACTGAGAAATCAGCCTTCAGGGTCACTGAGAGCTGGTTCAGCATGCCCTCACGCGCGGGAGACGCATGAGTGACGAAGACACGGGTTTCGGAAGGGTCATAGACGCGATTGGCGGTATCGATCAACTCGCCCATCTGCAGGAGTGTCGTCCACATGGTACCCTGGCCACCGGCGATCGTCGTCTTTCCTTCACCATTATCGAAAAGCTTGTGCATCACCACAGCACCGCCCAAACCCAACAAACGCAGCTTAACACCGCCGATATCGAGGAGACGTGAGTTGGCTTCGTCGATAATGTGCAGCTTGTCCACCTTGTATTCTCCGGAACGGAACTTCTCCAACACGCGGACATCTTCGCAGGCGCCCCAAACTGTGTAAACCGGAACATCGAGAGTAATGCGCTTGTCAAGCAGCATAGAAAGTTCGGAGAGGGGCAGTTGCTCGGGAGGGAAGCGTTGCTTAATGGATTGCTGGGGAGGAACTTGTGCGATGGAGCGCTTCACGTTCTCGGGAAGCAGGGGAGAGTATTGTGCAACGTGCTTAAGAGTCCTATGAGAAGATTCGAGGTTAGTACATGCTGCCTTGGAGATTTCGGTGCCCGGTGAGACGAAGTCGCGTTGGGCAGCAAAAACGCGCCAGGGTGGTTGGATGTTGCACTTACTTATCCGCAATTCGCTCGAGGGAGGTATCATCGTAGAAACCGAAGTCACCCGTGTGGATGATGTGGTCTGCGCGGGCTTGTTTGGCCAGCTCATTCAGAGACTTCAAGTTTCCTATGAAGGGAACGCAGTTAGCATACATCAACCCATGGAGCTGATGCTAGGAGTTGCGTACCTCGCACATCCGCAATGCATAGAATTCGAGTAGGTCCATTCTGAATCACTCGGCCATTGTTAGGGAGAAGCGGCGTGGCACCGGGGACAGGGCCCGCGGGCGCACCGTTCTGGAGAGGATATCCTTGGGAACTGAAGTTGGGGCGGGGCTGTGGATAGCAACAAGGTGGCTTAGTTAGCCAGATATTCAATGACATGACAATAGCGCATTTGACAGCTTGGGCAAAAGCGAGGGGAGATGATCAGGGAGCAACTTACAGAAGCCATGGGGGTGTCTGGAATTTGGGTAGAGGATAAAGGATATGGGGAGAGAGAGCCGTGATGATTTGAATATTAAGGGCGGTAAGACCAGAAAGGGAAAAAAAGGAGAAAGTTGATCGAGTTGGGAACGAAGAATCGCTCTTTCCTGGCGATGAAGCAACAGAACTGCCTTACGTAATCCATATGGCCCCTGCCCAGGTACCAACACTATACACTAGACACTATATACACTACACTCTGTACACTACACTCTGTACACTACACTCACTTCACTCACCTTGAGTCTGATCTTATCCCGTGTGAGCTTGATTTCTGTTGGGATGAAAGTTGGGGAAATATCTTTACAGTCATCAATGGGGATCTTTTCTACTACGCAGTTGAGCATCGCCTCAAAGGTGTAAGGAGTAGTAGTACTCCGTACAATTGCCACAGAGGTCCTGTACTACTGGCTTTACATCATACTGCAGGGATCCTAGAACGAGGCCCCAAAGACACTCACCAACCATAACAGATAGGAAGAGAGTGACAAATATGATCAAAGACAATTGTGGGGCCCTACATGACATATGGAGTAGATCACTTTCACATATCATAGACTGAGAACTTGGGCGGGCGAGTGGCGTCAGATCCAGAATGTAAGCCGGTGCAAGAAATAACTTGAGTTGGAAGTGATCTGTTGTAAATGTGAGTGTGGCCTTGCCCAATTTTTCGTTGTCACGATTTGCATATCCTAAAATCATACGATCAATATGGGAAGAAGCGATATCATTTTAAGCAAAAAAGCAGCCCACATACCATTTGTAATGTGCACACACATTATTAAAGTTCTTCTGTATGCTTTCCAGCCAAGGGATGGCTCTGATCTAGATGTCCCACAGATTCTGACCCAATCCCACCACAACCAGATATAGACTGCAGAGACCGTGGGCCCGCAAGGGCAAGTAGAGCAAAGTGACCCCCAACGGTGGGGCGCGCTCGACACAAGACAGGGACTCCGGGCTCATTGCCATGTTCTGAACTTGCGATGTACCGGTCAGAAAACGGCCAGTGATGCTTCCCATTGGTCATGAAGGCCCAGAGGTCGTCGACAAACTCGTCCCGCGTGCTTGCCTCGAAAGTTCCAGCCAGCCACATATTCCAGTCTGATTTAGCCCAGTCTTGGCGATTATCCAGTGGGACGCCATACTCGCCCCGTACAGTGGTAAAAAAGTCACTTCCCATTCGATAAGCTGCGTCGGGGAATGTGTCCAAGCCCAGCAGAATATCAGGGAACAGATTATATGGTGTCTTCCAAGTCTCTGGCCAGTCAGGATATTGCAGCACGAAGTGTGTCTGGTTTTGATCAGTTCCTAAACCTTGGCGAAATATGATGTTGGCATGGTCGTCACCAATGCGGGAATAGTGGCCGTCCCCACTGATCTGCCCATATGCTTTGATACCGACTGCAGCCTTGATTGCAAGGTTTGTCTCGTTGGTGAGAGGACCGGCTGCATCATTGGATGACAATTGCTTGGTGATATTAACGCCATTTTCTACCAAGTAGTCGGCGTACCTCCGGAAGATGCTGGTGTATTGCGATGTCCAATTTGTATCACCAGTCGCACGAGAATATGCAGCAGCTAGAATGAGCACATTGCCACATTCCTCAATAGGCATAGGTTCTGCCTGCTGATCATCATGACCGATAGCATGAGGATAATGAGTGCCAATGTCGTGGATTGTATAGGGTAAATGCCAGCGACCAGCAGCAAGATACTTCATCACAGGCTCCAAGAGTAGACGAATGTAGTCTGGATCCATGACATAATAGATCGGGAAAGCGGGCATGATCACATCGATAGTGTTGACATTGCCGTCGCTTGAAAGCTCTTTGATGAAAGCTAACACGCCACCCGTATCAAGTGAACCATTGGGAATAGTCAAATCAATGCCTCCGAACGCTTGTCGTGTTGAAAGGGCAAGGATATCAGCGTACTTGGAGCCCGCAGCGGCTGCAGATGAGGTGACAAGCTCCTGGTCCAGCTTCAGAGACTCCAGCAAGGCAATAGCGTAGTCGTCGAAGAAGAAAGAGAGTGCGCTCGAGCTAGTGGGATACTTTGCTCGATAGAAACCAGTATATGGCTCTCCCAAGTAATTGATAGCAGCCTCCCTCTCGTACCCAACCGCGAAGTTCACCGAAAGCCCCCCGGTGACTTCGCCGAGGTCGTGAGCCAGTGCGGCCACACTTCCACTGCTCCAGCTCCCTTTGCCAGAAAGCTTGCCTTCGTCGAGAAAAGACCGCCTGACATCTTCCGGGCTGCCCGAAAGAGCAGACAAAGCCGTGAAGTTCGTCGGCCGAGAGGCAAAAATAGCCGATCCCCAAAGAGCCATGTCATCTGCTTCTTCATATAGCGTCGCATCTTCAACTGTAAGCGAGTAAGAAACCAGACCATCCACCTCCTGAAATTCACACACTGAGCGACTCTCTCGACCAGTCCACCTAGCATCGATATCCGAGTAGACCTGGATGTTATAGCCACGCGAGCCGGACACATGTAAAGTCAAGTAACCTGCGGGCCATCGGATCAACAAATTGTACAGACTTGCATATTCATCACGACCTACTAAATGGAAGTGACTGTCTCAAATAATCCGACGGCGATACTGGTGATAAGAAGTCCAATGTGACCGCCACAGGCCCAGCGACAAGGTCGAATATTGTATGGGTAGCCGTGAATCTTGCACGGTGCACCTCAGCAGGGCGGATGGACTTTCCATCGGAATCAGGCACACCCATTAGACTGTACGCCTGTCCATCAACACGGACAATCACAGACCATCCCAATTCCTGACCCGCCCAAAATTGAGGTTCGGAAACTGGCAGCTGAGAGACTCGGTCGCTGGGCATCCATGCTGATAGATAGGGATTACGAACTGCTAGTGGGTAAGAGGGTGGTAGCACAGGGTGATGCGTGAGATATGGTGGTTCCCTGCCGAGGAAAGAAAGTATTGATGCACAGAGGGAGCTCACTCCCAGGCTGCTTAGACCGAGCATTTCTGTTCACAGGGCGATGATCAAGCTGCTTAAAGGGGTGTGTAATGCCTCCATTGCAAGTCGTGACTAGGAAAGGGATCAAGAACATTGATCAGATGTTTTGCCGATCATTCACGTCATTAGTACTGCCTTCCTCCCCTCAGATAATGAGGGGGCGCCTTCCTTGGTACGGCAGTCCACACCTGCCTTAGTTTCCTTCCGAGGTTAGATGTCCTTTCTATTCTCTGGAATACTCTCTGGTACACTCTCTGGAATACTCACTTGGAAGTAAGTACTTTTTGTTCAGAGGTATTTATCAACTTTCTAACATTCCTCAATAGTGATGTCCCGATCAAAAGCGCTGGGAACAAGTTGACACAGCCGCCTCCACCATCGATCAACCGGAAAAGCGTAATTCTTCCCTTGCAGCACACCTACAGCAGCAAGACAGTTATCGATGTGTGATGAATCTAGAGTAGATTACTTGCATACCGAGCAATGAAAATTGGAGGGTCTCCCAGCAGTTTCATTTTCCCAAACTGAAGGAGCACGTATTGACCTCGGGAGGATTTGAAAGTTTCTAGGTGTGCGGAAGCGCTGACCTTGCTGGTCTACTCAATAGTACACTATGGGCTTATGTTCCAGTGTTAATGTTGTATTTTACACCTGGGCAGCTTAATCAACTTGATTAAGTTCTAGAGGACAAAAGTGCTCAACTGGTAATTAAATGGCAAGGTCTGTAGAGTAATGCATCAAAATTGATAAGGAGGTTGGGCCGTTGCAGTAGGGACAGTCTAGCTCAAACATATACTTGATCTATCAAACGTTCAGGGCAGTTGTGAATAATCATAAAATTCATCTAGATATGTTCATAGGTTGTTGTTTTTTGAAAAGCTTATAGCTGGGCTTTCTCAATGCGCCGACCGATCTCATCAAAGTGAATCTGCTTTCCTGACACAAGGGCCTCCTGGAGGTATGAGCCAATTTCAACCGCCTTGACAGCATTGGTCAACTTCATGGGCAGAGGCGTGTTGTCCAAACAAGCAGCAGTGAAGTCATTAGCCTCCTGGACAAAAGCAGGGCTGAAACGACCCATGAAGTTGTGAGGAATTTCGCGAGTAATGCCCCCGTTGTGATAGAGGTTCACGAAGTTGCGCTGGGGGTTTCCGTTGACAGTCAACTTGCCCTCCGTACCGATGATCTCGGTGGTATCCTCCTGGCCGGCGGCCATCATACGCGAGCAGTAATAGTACGCGATCTTGCCGTTCCAGAATTCCACAATGCCTACGGCATTGTCGTAGTCATTGTACTTCTTGAGCTCTGGCTGCACGGCAGTGATACCGTGGGCGGAGATGCTCTTGGGGAGAATCTCGTCCCCAAAGAACCAGAGACTGAGATCAATGTCATGGACTGACATGTCGACAAAGACACCACCAGACCAGGCGGCGTAATCGACATAAAATCCTGAGGGGTCAAATTTATCGCAGGTCTGACTGCGGATGATGGCTGGACGTCCGATGAGGCCCTGCTCCATCTTGGAGTGGGCATCGCGGTACGAGTCATCGAAACGCCGGGAGAAACCGCACATCACCTTCAGGTGGGGCTTCTTCTTAGCGGCATTGACCACATCTCGGCACTATATAACGTGTTTCCATTAGCATTGAACGTTTGATATAACCCAGGGATTGTGACCATACCACTTGGACATCAGTGGATAGAGGCTTCTCGCAGAGTACATGGAGGTCGGCCTCAATAGCCTTGATAGCCTCTTCGGCATGAACAGAGGTTGCAGTACCAATAGCCACGGCCTGCAGGCCGGGATGCTTGAGCATCTCGTCGAAGTCGGTGTACAGAGTTACACCGTGGGGCTCCAAGTTCACTCGTCCCCAGGCAATCTCACCGGCATCGGGGGTGAAAGCCGCGACAAGTTCTGCGCGGGGAGTCTTCTGGAGGAAGTTGATGGCATGAAGCTTGCCAACACGACCGAGGCCGGCCATGCCGACTTGAAGTTTTTGAACAGGCATTTTGGATGTGGAATTGGGAGACACTGGTGATTCTCTGGATTGATTGTTGGGTCCTCAAGGGGGTTTAAATAGATCGAAAGGCATTTCCATCTGCATATTCACGATGGTCCTGAAAAGCAAAGGCAACAATCCCCGTAGATGTTAGTTGTGGGGCAGACGGATAGAATGTCCCGTCGAGACGAAAAAGGAAAAGACTGGGGAAACGGGGGGTCTGTTCTTCCCCGCACTCAACGGAAAGAATTTCCCCTCAACACACAACTGGAATGTCGTCAAAAAGAAGTCGTCTGCGGGCAGGCTGGTAGGTTTCTCCGTGTGTTTTAAGATCGCCACTAATTGAATACAGCCAACGATGTCGAGGTAAGTTCCCCCTCCCTGTGGAATTGGCCAATGGCTGATGAAGCAGTACGGCATCTCAAATGTAAGGACCCCGTACTCCGGACGCCGAGAGCCCGAGAGAAAAACTCACCAAAGCAGGTGACGAACACGAGCTGGGCTGCGGGCTCTGTCAACAAGCTGGCGTCGAATGTGACCGAACTAATATTCGATTTCGCAATGGCCTATCCGTCCCCAAAGAGCCAAAACTTGCATTTCCCGAGTTAGACTCTTGGCCCCAACTGCTTGGCAGAGGTTAGATCTGAGATCTCATTTTATCAAGCAATCAGCTCTAACTGTCAGTGTAAGTGAGATTTCACGATGAGACTGCGGACATCACCAGTCTGTATTCAGTGGAGGGCCATTCGGCTTTCATTGATGAAACACCCGATAATGTCAGTGGCCTTCTGCCAAATACAAACGTGGCCAATGAACTCGATCAACACCATTTCATTGCAGCAAGCCATTCACCATCTACTGCATCGTCTTCTCTGTCGACCCAATTAAGGTCTTCCAGGGTCCGGCACCCTCTATCCGAAAGAGAAGCCATTTTGATGAGAAATTTTGTCGAGAATATGGCATTATGGGTGTGTATCACGACTTTCGCAAAGCCTGTTTTAGCTGTTGACACTATCTCTAGGCTGATATAACAGATCCTCAGCGGCATTTTGAAACGGAGGTCTCAGTCCGGGCATTTAAGGAGCCGGTCTTGCGTTATGCTATTTTCGCATTTTCTTCCCGTCATCTGAATCGACAAGACAACAGCGATGCAACGGAGGCATTGCAGCATCATAATTGCTGCGTTCAATTACTGATACCGGCGCTTTCTGGACCTCGCGATCATATCACCGAGGATATACTTGCTGCGGTGGCTATCCTCCGCCAGCATGAGGAAATGGACGGTAAGGTATTGGTATCAATATTATGTTGCAAATCGGCACTAACCGTATATAGGAGAGGATAACCAGTTTCACTTGACAGGTACAACTCATATTCTCAACACGGTGTCCACGTTTGGGTCCTCAGGTGGTCTAGGTGAAGCTGCTGCCTGGCTTTGTTTGCGCCAGGATATCTACATTTCGTTGACCAGCCAACAACCCCTGCGAACTAATCTGCATAGTTTCCACCACTCGGGTGTATTTCAAAGAAATGACGACTTTGCATGGTCGAGCCGAATGGTCTTCCTGCTCGCCAAAGTCGTCCAGAGCGCTTTCACCGACTCTGCCATGACGCTTGGCATCCAACAAGAGATAGAGGAGTGGTATTCTAACAAACCCGACACCTTTGATCCTGTTCGATCGGCCCCGCGAGGGCCAGAACCAGACCGGCGATTCCCGACGATCTGGATGCTGCTACCCGTGCACGGTACACGATTCCCGCCAAACCCCCGAAGCATACGCAGACTGACATTAGCTTCACCACCTGACAGTTATCGGCATCCAATACTATCACATTGCCAAGATTCTCTTGGCGCTTTCCGAAGCACCACAGGCGTCTTCGGCCTATGAGAGCCTGCGCCACTCTCGGCTAGTGGAGGTTCGTTTGAAGCCCCCCATCTTTAATGCCCCGCAATTCCAGCCGCTCACACGCGATCAAGAAACATGTTCGGCATCACCTGCTCACGGTGTTGGGACTGGCGCAATCGAACAGCAAAGCGGAGAACACGTTGTTCACTGCACGACATAGCCTTGTGGCATGTGAGTTGTCGAAGATCCCCCGGGTTGGGTAATGTATTAACTTGGCAGGGGGTTGGGTCCTTCGGGATCCCCTGGATCAAAACGCCGCGGAGTCACTATTGCAAGCCATGAATGCAAGGACAGGATGGAATATGGACGCGCTAATTCAGACTTTGCGGGCGCAATGGGAGGAGATGGAGGGGGACAACTGAATCCCATTGGCATTGGCATCTCAACCGATGTACTACGGGGGATTGCCGAGAAGGCGAATAATCCAGCCGAGCGAAATTAGGCGAGACACCTGATGTCCATCAAAAACAGCAAAGATGCAAAGAAAAACGAGCATCGCAAAGCGAGCAGGTCAGAGAAACAAAAAGGGGAGCATAGCGATCCCTATGTCATAGGGGAGAAAAGGGCCTACGTAGGCCCGCCCCACTTCCCAATTTGGACCGGGCCCCTGGGGATCGTCATTACATTGTAGTGAAGACTTATATGTCTGCTGGGGTTTCCTTCTCGACCGTTCAATTCTTGACTCTCTCTCTCTCTCTCTCTCTCTCTCTCTCTGAACACTGTCACTCAACCTACACTACACTTCAAATATAGGAGGTGTCTCACCCCGCAACTTCACTCGCGCTAGTACAAGCGGGACCCTCTTCCCCAGACTTTTCGCATTAGCGTATCACGCGCTATTTTTTGCATTTTTGCGACGGGACTTCTGACGGCTTTTTTTGCCCCCAGTCGAATCAAATAAGTCGTTGCGCCTGCATCTCAGCAACTTCCAAAACTTCGCATCCCCTACATACCATGGAGAGCCAACGGATCGCAAAAGAGCGCGCAAGCATAGCTTACGCGCCAGTTCCACTGTCCGATCCCACATACGACTCTATTCTTTGCGCTATTCCCTTTTCCGACACTCCGCTCTGCAAATCCGCGGTGCCACCTCCCGTTCCACCCTCTTATAACGACGTCAGCGGGCCTGTCGTCATAGACCAAGACGGGAAACCGCAATTCCTCACCCCGGAGCAAGAGGTTGAGCGCGAGCAACGGTTGCAAACTGCCGTGCGCGAGAAGATGTTAGGATTACCACGGACAACAACGTTTGAGTGGCACCAGGGTCCTTCACCAGCTGAGGATTTACAACTACCACCCTACACGCCGAAAGAAGAGAAGGAGCGTTGATATTGCATTGGAGTATTACTATCTTGTACTCTTGACTTTGATTTTGGGCTTGCTGGCGATTGCTTTATGGACTATTGAATACCCACTGTACTTGGAATGTGTATATCGCCCTAGGCAGAATGATAGCGTGTACGAATTGAATGCGCCGAGTTCGCCTTTTATTTTTAGGAACGTGGTCGTAACTAACTAAATTTTGTACAATGCGTACGGAGTATATACACTCTAGTTGCGGAAAAGTCTCAGGCCGCCTTCCTCACGATCGGCATCTTCCTCCTCGTCGCTGCCACTGTCATCCCCTTCGCCAAGGAGACCACTGGCAGATCGACCAAGCAAGGAGGCGAACAGTTCGTCGCGTGCACGCGTGCTCCACGACCCACGGTCTTCGGGGGCCATGAAGTTCTGCAGCTTCTCATGCACGGTATACTTCATCTTGCGGCCCTTGGACGCACGGGTATCGATATCTCGCTTCACCTTGTCGTTGCGCATACCGGTCACCGGGTGAATGGGCAAACGGGTGGGCAATTGGTGGAGGTTGTCAAAGCCACTGGTTGCACCGTCGGATCCAGTCATGCGCTGCTCGACGAGATCGCGGAGAAGAGACTGGTAGAACATGCTGTCGTCGAAGAATAACTCTGGCTGGTCGGGGCGCGACCGCTTGGAGGGTCGTTCACCAACTTCGGATGCGACCTGGGCGTCCAAAACGGCTGTAATGGTTTGTTGGCGACTGGCGGAGCCGAGCAATTTACCCCTGGTGTTAGGGAGGGCGGCGGAACTGCCCCGAACCTTGGAGGACCACTTGTCGAGAATGGAACGACGGTGAGGAAGGGATTCGGATTCCACTTCATTCATACGCTCCCACAGGGAGGCAGTAGGGGTAGTGGGGGAGACAGGGGAAGGTCTCTTGCGCTTTTTGCTTCCTTCTTTCGCAGTAGCGTCCGCCAGGGCAGTGCGAAGTTCCTCAAGAGTAGACCATAATGCCATGGCTGCCGTCTCTGCAGACTTGATCGCTTCCCCGTCAACCTCTTCTTGATCGGTCGCATTCCCGCCCTCTTCGCTATTCGCCCCCAAAACGGTGTGAATACCGTTCACAGACGTCAATCCGCTCTGCAGTTTGATACGGGCATTCAGAAGCGCATCGAAAGTGGTACGTTGTTGCTTGACAGCTTTTCCCTTGGTGGCATCGGCCTTGGCCGCGGAGGAGATGGTTGCAGCAATGGTTTTCTGATCCGTCGCCATTAGTCTTTTAATCTCGTTGCGATCACCGGAAGCCTCGCCATGTTGGACAGCTGGAGACTTCTTGTTGGATTTCTTCCGTGGCAGATCCTCGTCGGACTCCTCGCTCTCGTCGTCTTCTTCGCCCTCTTCGTCCTCGTCGGTGTCCTCCTGAGCCAGTGCATCCTCATCAATAGCGGAATCGTCGGAATCGAACCCGGAAATATCGTCTGAGCCTTCATCGTCATCTTCCTTTTCTGACCCGCTCGCAGCGCTGTCGTCGTCGTCGTCGTCACCGGAGCGCGCAGCGAAGGGATCATCGTCACTGTCTGCACCCAGGGTGTCTCGACTGACGCGAGCACCTTCATACTGTTTTCCAAGGTTCACGGGATCATCGTTGCGGAGTTTTGCTTTTCTGTCCCATAATTGTAATTAGCGCCTTTGATACCAAGATGTACATATACCCATATATACATACCCGACCTTCTCGTAATGCTCCCGTCCCGTGTTCACTTCGTCATCTTCTCCGCTCTCTTCGTCACTTGATTGCGCGCCATTGTCAATGTCTTCGGGGTCGAAGTCTGAGCGTAGATAGGAAGTCAGCATGGTGTCTGCGGGGAGTTGGGGATAATGCAGAGTACCTTTAGGAGTAGGGTCTTCAAAGTCAGCAAGCTGATCAGCCAGCGAGCGAGCTCCACGCGGTTTACCCATGATGTTGTTGCTTAAGAGAAGAGCCTGGCGAGCAACTTTTTTTTGTTAGTTTTTCCGGATAACGGATCAATTGTCCTATCTAGGATTAGTGCCTGTAAGCGGTCTCGAGAGATACCGGCGGGCGGTCAGTATTTACAACGGCAGTATTTGCATCTCATCGAAGAACTGCCGGGCTGCTTCTGCTCGATACTATATTGCCATCGCCTGGTTGGATCTTTGATATGTTGCTGTCACCAGTTAGGGTTTCTATGCCCCGTGTGAGGCTTTTTTCTACATGTCGAGTCTTGCAGCATGAGAATCCTTTGGTCAGTCACATTCCAGCTTTGGAGCTTTGCACATAGCTTCAATTCAAGGAGAACTAAAGCTTGAGCTGGCAATATTATGAGCCAGACATATCGAAGGGACTTATTAGCTGACTTGAACCAGGGACTGCCCAAGTCTGGTACCCCGCCGGCATTCCGTTCTCGCCGTGGGATGCCCCAGAAGCGCAAGATCCGAGACGTCAAGAAAGTTGTGGCAGTATCATCGGCGAAGGGTGGAGTAGGAAAGTCAACAATAGCAGGTAAATCCATACCAATCTCCGGGCTCTTTTATTCGATCTCGAGCAGATATTGCTTCATTTAATGGACAAATGATGGGCAAGTACTAATATCATCTTCACTAGTCAATCTCGCACTCTCATTTGCACGCCGTGGCATCAAGACAGGCATTTTGGACACTGACATCTTTGGCCCTTCGATTCCAACTTTGCTCAACCTCTCCGGGGAACCCCGTCTAGACGAAAGTGAGCTTCCCTCGACCCGTCATATCAACAGCATGTGACAACCAATGCTCATGAACTTCATTAGATAACTGTCTTGTACCCCTCACAAACTATGGACTGAAGTCCATGTCCATGGGCTACCTTCTCCCCCAAACCCAATCAGATAGCACCACAGGCGAAGTCCCCATGGACTCAACACCAATCTCCTGGCGAGGACTCATGGTAACAAAAGCCATGCAACAATTGCTCCACTCAGTCTCATGGGGTCCACTCGACATCCTAATCCTCGATCTGCCACCAGGCACAGGAGACGTTCAATTAACCATTAACCAAGAAGTCATCATCGACGGCGCGGTGATTGTCTCAACGCCCCAGGACATCGCCCTTCGTGACGCAGTCCGCGGAATCGGCATGTTCCAGCGCATGGAAGTCCCTGTGCTCGGAATGGTCCGCAACATGGCCTTCTTTGCTTGTCCACAGTGCGGACACCAGACTCGCATCTTTTCTCATGGTGATAGCCACCACCATGAGCATGGCGACAACCATGGAGTCGTGGCCGAATGTAAACGTCTTGGCGTCGACTTCTTGGGAGATATCCCTCTCGATGCTCGCGTGTGCGAAGACGCAGATAGGGGCATGCCGACCGTTGTCGCGGAAGAGAGCGTCGAACGCAGTGCTCGACGTGAAGCTTTCCTGGGTGTCGCTGAGCAGGTGGCCAAGAAGATCGGTCTGGATTGGCGTTGAATGGTAATGTAGTATATGTGTACAACTTTGCAATATGTATCATACAAGCCCTGGTGGCTGGTTACCGGTGATGAATGTTCCAGACTAAGTTGTCGTTTGAGGTCGCCTTAGACTGCTCGTGTTCAATCAGTACGTACTGGCTGGCTCGGCGCAAAGAAGGAGAAAATTGGAAGGTAATTTGATTTCAAATTGGGGTATATATTGCATGTATACATTGGGCAACTCGGATGGCCAAATATGGACTCCTGTGCCGCAATCGATATCGGGTATATCAGATATAAAAAGTGAACTCAAAGAAAGGAAAACAAACAGGAGAAAAGAGAGTAAGACAAAAAGTGTGATCTTGGCTTAGAGCTGGGGTGGGGACAAAGCTGTAGGCAGTCCAAAATTCAGGAACGAAAATCAAGAGATCAAAAACGATAGATAGAGAGATATGAAATCCCAAAATGTCAAGAAGCCAAGATATCATAGTACTTCCTCGGCGGTCTTGAAAACGTCCCTATCAGGCATTTCGGGGCGATGCGATGTTGAATCACGACCAGCGATAGAAAGAACAGAAAGAGTGTCTGTAGAGCGACGACCGTTCTCGCCAGCCATGATTTGGGCTGAAATTCCTCTCGCCCCCATAACAGCACGGGTACTAGCTGTGTCAGATGCCATGTTCAGGTAGGCAACAGAGTCCTTGTCACCCCCAACTGTGCTGGCAGTGTCGGACACAAGTTCGCTTCGGCCCGTGAACGAGCCTGCGGCTGATGATGGCCTGGTATATCTGCTTTGGGCTAGGGATACGTCGGACTTCATAGGTAGAGATCCAGCGGCATGGAATAGAGCCCTTGTGCTGGCATTGTCGTCTTTGAGTTTGTGGTTGTTTACTTCAGGTAGAATGAGAATGGGACCGGGGTTGGCTTGCTCCGATACTCGCGAGGGCGCCTCTGGAGATGTGCGCCCATCGGAAGAATCAGCCGCGTTGGGATGTTCCTTTTCATTCCAAGTAATGGTGGAAGGACCTGTATGTGAGTTGGCCTTGCCGGGATTTTTCTCTCCTGTTTCATTTTGCGTGTTCAGGGCTGGCGTGCTAGACCACGCCCCAGCCTGGCTAGCATCGACGCTAGCACGAGTGGATTGCCGACCCGACTGTTGTGAATTCGACTGTCTTTCCATTTCGCGCTCGTCATGCTTGCTTCCCCAACCGCTCCACATCATCAAGCCATAATTCTTTTTGGCACGAGGTTTGGGGAGCACGCCAGGAGCGGAGCGACGGGCAGCTAGCGAGCTCGGGGGAGGAATCTCCCCATCAAAGTCCTGGAAGCCATGAGCAAGCTCTTTCATCCGCCGGCTCTGAACACGAAGCTTTTCTTTCGAGAATCGGATGTCCCATTCCTGCTTTGCTTCCAGCCACTTGCGGATGAGCTCAGGGTTAATCGCACCAACTTGCGAAACTGGAATATCCAGAACAGGGTATGATGATGGGGGGTCAAGGGGGAAGGCTTGGCCATGTTTGTCAATCCGTTGACGTATCATATGGTCTTGGAACGCGGGAAGGGGGTCACCGGCCCTACCAACAGACTCAGGGCCTGGCCCTGCCGCTGACTTGTTCAATGCAGACTGGGCCCCCAACGATTGATCGCCCTCGGAGCTACTTGATGAGACCGGAGATAACGCAATATCATCTTCAATCTCGATCTGGCCGTTTTGCGCACGAGCCAGCGCCCAAGATCCAAACTGGGCGATTGAACGGAACATATACTTAGCCGGTTGGGTGAAGCTCAACGTAGGTGCCACATGGCATAAGTGGTCCCAGACCTGGAGTTGCACATATGTTGGCTTGTATTTTCTCAAGGTCTCCCGGGTTGGATCGTGCTCGTCAAGATACACATCAGCGGGTGGGTATGCTGATGGGTTTGCAGCCTTGTGTGCGATGTAGAACTGCTCATCGCGAAGCATCTCCCCACCACCGCTCAGTATTTGAAGTGGGGGAAGACCACCAAGAGATGGCTGTAGAACCGGAGAAACCAGAGGGTGGGACATGAGTTGGTTCGTCGTATACATTTGAATTTGATCTTTCAGCTCAACAGTCTTCCCATCCAAAACGACATGGATATTGTCAGGTTCGCCATGCAATGTGCCGGGGTTTGGGGTTTGTTGCTGGCCAGGGTATGCAGGCTCAGCTGGAGGAGGGGTGTTCTCGTGGACAGTATAGCCACGGACAGCAGTTTCTTCGGCGGCACTGTTTGGTGCAGGAATTGCATTGTTCACATCTTCATGGGTGACCTTTTCCTGCCGCGACATCCTCTTCATCTTCAGAACATCATCTGCATTAGGGGGAGGCCAAGCGGTCGAAGGCTTGTGACGGAACCCGTAAGGAGGAATATAATCTCCTGGGTTGTCGGCGACAATGCTAGGGAAGGAATGTGTCAAGTCAACCCAGGGAGATATAAGAATGGCACCTGCAGGCAAAGGTATCCTTTGGTCTCGCATGATGACCAGCATCGAGAGAGCCAAGCCTCCACCCGCAGAGTCACCGGCAATGATTATCTCCTTGGGTTCATAGGATTTCAAGAGCCAGAGGTATGCTGCCAAGCAGTCGTGCAGGCCACACGGGAAAGGGAATTGCGGTGATAGTCGGTATTCCGGCGCAAACACCCGAGCCTTCAATTTTCGCGCATGCCGTTGCATCATGTACCGATGAGTGTCCACGCTTCCGAAGAAGTAAGCTCCACCATGAACATACAACATCACACGATTACAGCGCTTGTTGGCCTTTTTGGTCTCGTTATAATGATTTCGCATCTCGATCCACTCCCCCTTCAAGTCCTCTGCTGGCCCGCGCCATTGCCACCATTTCTCTCCTCCAATTCTTATGATGCCCTTCGGACCAAGCTGCTTGGTAACTGCCTCTGCGGCAGACGACACAATTTCGGCTGGGATTGTGATCGACTCGGTTCTCACCCAGTGGGGGCTGGGCACCCATTGACGAGTAAATGCCTGGAGGTCTTCGACGGGGTGCTTGGAAGCATATTGCAAGAATGAGCGGACAATCTGGATACCTTCGTCATAGGTGATATGCACGGTAGGTTTGTTGTGTAACGATTTGCGATTCAAGTACTAAGTGATGCGCTTTTAGCAAATATTTCATGGCGCTCTCGGGTCATTACTTACATGACTGACGAGAGTGTGAAGAACCGTCGGAGTCAAGACCGCGCCTAGTGCGACCGTATGTAGTGGCATACTGGTCTTCGTGTCGCGAAGCAATCAATTCGGCCAAGGAACAAAAATATATAGAAGAGTGCCTACACCGATTAAAGAGAGAATAATAGGTCGGAATTAGGCGGCATCAGTGAAAGTCTCAAAGACACAAACGAGAAGCAAAAGAAGGAAAAAGTCGACGTAGGAACCGAAAAGCGACAGGGGCATTCCCCCAGATGACGTCACCGCTGAGGCCATCGCCGATCTCTCGCTCTTCTCTTCTTTTCACTCACACATGCGCTACTTCACACTCCTTGCTCATGTGCTTTCTCAACACTGTTAACTCTATGCAAGACGCCTCCTTGGTCTTCCAACCCAACTAACAACCGCAATGTAAAATACCCCAATGACCCCGGCAACAACGCTGGTTGCAATGATAGCCCCACGCGGCCCTTGCGCAAGCTTGAAGCCAAGCCCAGCATTGATCACCCCCAAAATTATCATCGTCCTCCCAAACCATCGGTGTGTGTACGCAAAAATGCCCTTTCCGCCTGTTTTCCGGAAGTATCGGTGCTGCAACACGCCCATGGCCGGCTGGAAAAGTACAAGACTCGCAACAACAATCATGCCAATGATGGCGTGGTAAGAATCAATCAGCCGGATCTGCCGTGCCAAGGAGACACCCACCCCAAGGCCGGCAATGGTCACTGACAGTGTGAGAAGTTGAAATGTTCCATGAATGTTCACCGTCCATTTGGATGGGAAGACATGAAGTCCCAGCGCGAAGAAAGGGAACATGATCACAAAAGCCAAGACCATGAGCACAGCATGTGCTGTTTTCTTCCGATTGATGGTGTTTCGGATAGCCACAGAAGTCGGGTCTTCCTCGGCGGAGGACACAGATGTTTGGGATAATTGGGCGAAAGGGTTCTCAGAGGTACCGCCGGTTGCTTTTGTCAAATCGACGGATACAACGCCACTATCATCGTGGTGGACGATATTTTCGGACACGCTGTTAGAGCTGAGGGATTGACCCTCCTTCAAAGCCCATATCCATGAGCTGGACGAGCTCTTCAAATTCTCTGATCCACCAGTCCACTTGATGCAGCTATCACACCGGAAACTGGCAGTAGTGACTCCGTCATGCACACCACTACCATTGAGGATTGTGATCTGGGCGTTCCTGTTATACAAAGGTTGGATTTCACCGACGCCCGACCGCGGAGACACAGTCACATTATTGCCAGATGTGTAGACTATAAACATATTGGCGCCAGCCATTTGTCTTCCCTGGCCCAAGGCAAGCCACTGCACCTGGCTGGTAGTATTCATTTGAATGAATATAGGACCAGAACCCGATTTGGAAGTTTCGTCTGGGACATTGATGCTGTAGGTGATATCGTCATGGCCTCTAGGATGGAAGCTGTGGACTTGAGCCAGTACGGGAATGGCCCAAAGCCAAGCAAAAGTATATCGGTTCATGGTGCTAAATTGAATACTTTTTTTTTCTTGACCCTAAAATCTACCGGGGAGTCAACTACTCAATAAATAAGCATGACAATTCTGCTGATTGTTGCACGGCTGGTATCTCAACTGGGCTGGGTAGGCCAAGACCTTGGTATGGCGGATCGTCGTCACGCTTGTACTCATAGACGTTGAGATTCGGTGCCACTGGACCTGTCAAGTGCTTTGAAATGACATTTTCACGACATTCCTATTGGAGAAAACTCGTTTGCCTGTTTTCGTTCTCGTTCTCGCGAGCCACATAGCCAACACTCATCCGGGTAGTTGCTGCGCCTCCACGCTCTGGAACCCCAGCCGATCTCCCGTGGCGTCGGGCCAGCCTGAATAGCTAGAGCGGGCTGGGTAAAACAGTCTAGCTTATTTCACACGAGGTAATAAGCTGGAGAGTTTTGTCGACATTCCTACTTGGGTATGTGGAGTGTCAATCTACTTGAGGACCAATGTAGTCTTTGACATCGATACTTAAGCTTTTGACACATTGACTATATGAGGTATAGGTAGTGATTGAATATTCGTCAATAGGGTTGGATTCATTGTTTAGCTTGTGGCTATGTTCTCCATTCATCCGTGGTCTCCGGGACCTCACGTATTGGTTTTTAGTTCGAACATCCTGAGACAAAGTCCACGGGTGGTGTAAAAGAGCTATAAATTAGACTTGGAGGGAAGGCAAAACAAGAGGTTTTACTGAACTTCAAACCAGAACACACATACTCTGTACTCCATCATGAATACGCTTTACATTTTCCTCATGGTACTGCCACTAATCAATGCTCAGTACGGAGATTCGAATCATGCCAGCGAGGGTATGACCACTGCTGCATCTTCGACTGCGGCATCAGCGTCGACGACGGTCCACAAAGTCGATATTGGTGAAGATGGTTTTAGTTTCTCTCCCGATACCCTGGATGTCTCTCCAGGGGAAACAGTCGAGTTTCATTTCCATCCGCAGAACCATTCAGTGGCCCAGGCTTCCTTCGATAATCCCTGCCACCCCGCCAATGTATCTAGCTTCTCCAGTGGATTTGTGCCTACAAGCCAGGAGTCTGTAAGTGGTTTCACGATATCATAGCCCTGATCAGTGTCTGAACCCAATAGAAAACCGTCTTTACCGTGACCATCAATGACACAACGCCGATTTGGTACTACTGCGGTCAGGTTGGTCATTGCCAAGCTGGCATGGTCGGGGTTATCAATGCACCGTAAGCGTATCCTCCATGTTTTTCATTAGTTTGCTTATTGTTCTTCAGATCGAGTGGCCAGGAAACCCTTGGTGCTTTCAAGCAGGCCGCAGTAAATGCAAAAGGTAGCACCATACCTGCAACAGTACAAGGCGGCTTGCTTGGCGAGACCAAGGAGCCTTCAAGCAGCACAACGAGCGAATCGGCAACCCAGACAGCCAAATCTACCTCTAGTCCTAATCACGCAGGAAGCAGTGAGGGGAATGCCATAGGCATGGCGATTGTTCTGGTGCTGTCTTGCTTTGTCTCATTGTCTATGATGTAGGAAGCTCCAGGTTTTTTATGCGACGCCAATCCAAGCTCAACTTTTACCGTCTTTGAACCTTGGAAGATTCGACTTTGAATGTTGAACGTTCTGTACTTAAGTAGAAGCATAGTGCTTAGTTGACATAGGGATATTGTCTACTTTCGGACCTGAGTTGGTCTTTTTATCTGGATCTTTACAATTTCTTCCACGCGAATACAACCTGGGAGGTTGAGTTATCCAGTTAGAATTTCTGTAAGTTTGTTACTTTAGAGTGATAACAAAATTTACTCAAGTAGAATCCAGTGGGTCTCTTAAGTACTGAGATCTCTGATATATGTAGGACCTGGCTTCGACAACGCGGGCATCTCTCACTGGCAAGTCCAGCGGACTGAGAAATAACCCAGTCATGGGGCTTGACAAAAAATTATCGACTTCAGAACTTGCCTTGTCCTCGAGAATGTAAGCTTTTGACGATCACTGCAATAAGATCTTCATTGGCCACAACTTACCGCAAATCCCAACCTATTTGAGCACTTTGGCCTTGGCCTTCCACGCGGTACTCAGTTTTTCTGTGGAATTTCGGAGGATTGATGCAGGAACATGCAGGAAAAGACGACGGAGTTGCTCCAAAGGTACAGCGGGATGGTGTCGATCTCATTGTCCGTTTCTTGGCACCTTCGAAGGTCCTCGGTTTATGTACGAAAAGCTTGAGTATAAATATTCCGACCATACGTGTATTTCTCGACAAAATCTCAGCCAAGTGACAATGTTCAGCAGATCGCTTCTTGCGGTGGCGGCACTGGTCGTCGCTCAGGGTCTTCCAGGTCTTGGGAGAGTGCTGAGTGAGCAAGAAACAGTCCGAGTCACAACATCTGAAAACGTTCGACGTGGTGAGCTGGCCAACATCCATTTAGATTGGCATGAACGACCATCAAGTGGCATCAAAGCCATTTACACATCGTGTGATGGACAAAATACGACCAAAAGCGTGCAGACCATTGGCCGCTACGCGAGTGACGGCGAGCCTCCTCAAAGACTAGCCTGGGCGGTGCCAGATCATGCCACGACACAGCAATGCATCTATATCCTTGCAGCTGATGAAAGATCTGCATCGCCCAAAGTCTTGGGGAAAAGCAGTCCAATTTCCCTGCAACAGTCACCCAAAAAGCGATCGACAGCAGATTCCAACATTCCACTCTTGAAAGATTTCGATTCTCTCGGAACATGGTTCGATGGAGTGGCCAAAATCAAAGAGAAAGTGAAGCAAGGAAGAGGAGTGGCTTCGAAAGGTTCACCCAAAAATGCCTCGATCGCCATTGTGGGCGGTGGAATTTCCGGACTCGCCACAGGTTTGATGCTCGACAGTGTGGGTGTGCACAATTGGGAAATCATTGAAGCCAGTGATCGTGTGGGAGGCAGATTCCGAACGAAATATGTCGCAGACACGCAGGAATGGGCTGAGATGGGACCCATGAGACTTCCCTATTCGGTCACCTACAAGAACGACAACGAAACACTTCTGTACACCGACCATCAGTTGACCTTTCAAATGGCCGAAATTTTGAACACGATGAATAAGAACGAATCGCAGTGGAAAATCGATTTCATCCCTTGGATCCAGCACAGCCCCAATGAAATGATTGCCCAAGGAACTCGCCGACACCCAGACGGAAGAATCCCAACTCGTGCTGAGATCGAGGATGATCCAAGCTTGGAAGATGCGCCTGCGATGACGACGACTGAGTATAGTAATACCGAAGCAAAGATGGACAAAATCCTGAAGGACGAAGCGACTCTCAAATCGATCCAAAGGAATGTCTGGAGAGCCCACAAGACCGCCATGGAGCAGGGACTTGACGACTGGAGCGAACAAGCAATGATGCGTCACGTCTTCAAGGCCAGTGAGAATGTCACTGACGAGATCTGGACATCATCCGACTACGATATCTTCTGGGATGAACTGCATCATAACTCGAACCTTGGTCTGGATGGAAGCAAAGGCAGCATGGGAGAAACACAGTGGGTGTGTATCGACGGAGGATTCAATCGACTATCGGATGCATTCCTCCCTCATGTCCAAGACAGACTCACCCTGAACCGGAAAATCAGGAAGTTGGAGCCTATCCAGGACAAAGATGGAAACACCCGGACTCGACTGTCATGGTACCCCAGTGTCTCAAATCGGACATACGAATCGAAAGAATACGACTACACAATCATGGCTGCACCTTTCACCATGACCCGATTCATGGACTTACCCAAGTTCTCTTCCGTCCTGGACCGAGCAATCAGCGAAGCAGGTCTGCGCTTCAAGTCCGCATGCAAAGTCGCACTACTTTTCTCTGAACGGTTCTGGGAAAAGGGCGACCGCCCCATTTTCGGCGGTTACTCCAAACCAGAGAGCAACTCCGTCGGCGCATTGTATTACCCAGTATATGGGCTCAACGAGTCACGTCCAGGGTTGATCATGCATTACCGAGGTGGAGACTGGAGCGATCGCTTTGTGAGTTTCTCAGACGAGGAGCACGTACAAACCGTACTAGATGCCGTCGTTAGTCTGCATGGTGAACAAGCGCGGGACTTGTACACGGGCGACTACGAGCGCCTTTGCTGGCTTCAGGATGAGCATACTGCGACTTCTTGGTGCCGGCCTGATGTTGAGCAGCACAAGCTCTATATTCCGGCTTACCATCAGACTGAGCACAACACAATTTTCATTGGAGAGCATACTGCGCCAACACATGCTTGGGTCAGTTCGTCACTGCATTCTTCAATTCGTGGGTCTATTCAATTACTGTTGGAGCTCGGTTTGGTTGATGAAGCAAAGGAACTTAATCAGAAGTGGATGGGAAGATGGATCAAGCTGTGATCATAGATTTCTCAAGTTGGGGGAGACTAAAGGCCACTGTTTATAGCTGCGCAGCATGAAGTATTTGCTATATCTAGAGGCTTTGTAAAGATAATTCGAATTGTTCTTTAACACTCATCACCACAAATGTGATATCATGGCTTTTCTACCAAGCCACTACATCCCCGTTGTATGCTACAAGTTTTCCTGATGTGTTCTCCCGTGTAGCAGTATCAATGACATGCAGGCTTCCCGAAACACTTTCCTCAATAGTCAATGGCGGCTCACCGGGATAATCCCACTGCTTCACCGAGTAATAACCTGCACGGGTCTGTACCCAGCCCGGATGCAAGCTGAAAGCAATCAATCCATCTGACTCATGCTGCAGGTGGATCGCCCTGGTCAGCCAGTTCAATGCCGCCTTGCTGGCGCCGTAGCTACCCCCTGGGAACGGCTCTTGAGCAGCAATCGAGCCGACTGAAGACGAGACAGCCACATACTGAGGCGCAGATGAATTCTTCAAGTATGGCCAGAGGGCTTGGAAAAGTAGAAGCGGGGCGATGGCGTTCACTTCAAAGGATGTACGTAAATCTTCCGCTGAGGTGGAAACGGCCGGAGTCAGTGGGGCTATAACAGCGGCGTTGCAAATGAGAACGTCTATATGCATGATACTGGCTGTCGAGTCGGCAAGCACTTGACTAATCTTTTCCGGGGAGATCGCTGATGAAAAGTCGAGTTCGATGATGTGGAAAGTGCTGTTTTCGCCCACAGTGGTATTTTCTGTCTCTGCCCTGAGGCTTGCAGCTGCCTCAGTGTTGCGGACTGAGGTAATGACTGTGATGTTGGGTCTTTGAAGCAGTTTCTGGGTCAGACCCAGACCGATGCCTCTATTGGCACCCGTGATGACATATACTTTGTTCGTGGAGGGCATGGCGAAGAGAGATGGGGTAGATAGACGGACAATCTTGGGGTGGGATCAAGACAGTTGGAAGGGATTTCGCCTGAGGTGAAACAATTGTGAGCAGTGCAAATCACTCGAACGAGAGAAAGAGAGAAAGTAAAGAAGAGAAAATCAGACACCATTTATACTTCTCTGTCAGACATTTGGTCCGGCGCGAACCGTGCGAAGCGGGTCCCAGGATTGGGGGCGAACACACTGTCCTACTACTTCGTACGTTCAATATTTTCGCATCAAGCCCAGGAATATGGCCACTTGCGACTCTTGTCACTTTTCCCAACTCAATTCAATTGAGTTAATTGAAGCACATATACATTGGCAAAATTGACAGAGTAAACCGATACTGCTGCTTCCGACCCTTACCACCTCAACATGTTTTGAGGCGATGGGTATCACACCAAGTTGAATCATCGTATTATCAGAATTTGTAGTTATAATCACCCTCATTTTTAAGATCGCCTTTATTTCAAGAGGATGATCTGTACCGGTTACTGAGTGCTTGCTGATGCTCAAATGAGCTTCTTCGCTAGGCCAGTAAGTAAAGCCCTCGCTTATATCAGAAGCCATTTGATGCCACTTCCAAGGTTAATACAGACCGTTTCGGTAGTAAGATGGGAAAGGTTGGTAGAAGTCTACGATCTTTACCGGAGACCATCAGCCCCAAAAGGGTATAATCACGCGCTGAAACTCAGTGGCGTGAGGTTGGTCGCCTATTACCAAAATAGTGTGTAAAAGGAATTATGATGCTGGCAAAACACAAGATTTGGTTCTCGATGGTCATCTACACTGAAGCCACTACTCTGTAAAGCCAGGAGGGTAGAAGATAGTAGGCGTTTGTGTCTCATACACTAAGTCTGAGGCATCAACATCCCTGGAAATAGCAAGAATCTCGAGGACTAAAAGAAGAGCGTGATAGAAATAAATTTCGGATGCAATATAGCTTACTGCGCTGTCTGTTGTCGGATTCCGTCATCCAAGCCAGTGTCAGGGTCGTGACTTACGCTCTCAATTTTGAAAATTTTGAGCGATTTATTCACGTGTCGACAGCGTATGCGAATACACACCTGTATCAGGAGAGTCATCTGTTTGACGTACCCATCAATGAAGGCGTATGTCCTCTATCGGCCCAAACAGACCGCACTTCGAGAGATTTCGAGGAAATCGTGAATCGCTTGTCTCCATTGGAGTTGAAGGGGCATGGCTTTCCATGGCTGTATGCCTGCAAGCATCTGACAGAGCGCCTTCTGATCAAAATGTTGGAGAATTCGGAAAAGCTGCTCATCTTGCGTCCATCCGTTGTTGGGCCAGCACAGAGCTTCCCCTTTCCTGGATTTTGTGTGCCAATGTCCTCCCCGTGCAATTTTGCCGCTACATCACTGGCGCTGACTCCAGAATTCACAATGAAGATATCAACACAGTCCCTTTCCCCAGAGACGGAAGCTACAGCGGATGAAGTGCCCGTCGATGTGGTAGTTGATAGGCTGCTTTTCCTGTTTGCGATGTCTGCCTCAGGTGCCCACTGTAGATAACCAGCCTAGCTAGCCCTGGAGCTTAGATCTTCTCTCTCCTCTCAACCCAATCAACTATCGTTCCAAGCAGTATTCTGTGCCCTTCCCCGCTGAAGATTTCCATCTTGCCCAAGGTACTTCGGGCCCTGTTCATGCACTCAGTGGAGCCCGATGTAGGATACCATTTATGGTTTTCTAGGAGCAATCTACCCGTACGCATCGCATTCCCTGGCAGCTCCGACCGAGATGGGCCCGCGTTCATTGGCATTCGCCAGAACTGCACCCCATTTCCGCTCTTTATGTGCTCATTTTAGTAAATTAATTGTAAGGTTTTGCTACTCTTTGGCTACGGGGCTGGGTATCTTTGATAGTCTTACAAAATCCATTGCAAAGACGAATCTTGGAATTTGATAGTAATGACAGATATTTGGTCAAAAATGCCCCCGAGCGAGCCAGCCACGCCGCAGTGTCTCATCGTACAGTATTAGACCTGTTCAAAATTGTGGGATTGACTTATCATTTGACAAAAGATGGAGTCATTATCGGCAGTTATCCATGGCCGCTAATCTTTCACCCCGGGTTTCTCCAACTGTTCAGTGAAGTCCACCATATTGACATTTGGTCCGATAAGTCCCGGAAGAGTCACTGCCAAGGCCAGTTGGGGAACATCTCCGACCCCAAAAGAGGGGTCGATAGGCCCTTATCTTTGATTTGGGGCTTAGGGCGTGGGCGATACTGCGATAGGAAGCTCCACAGCCAAGAGACTGTGTGCCTGGGAATCCCTTGGCAGTGGACATTCAGGCCATCCTTTAAAGCCAGCAGGTACTGTACTTTTTGTTTTTTTTTTTCTGCATTGGAATCATGACTGCTACTAATGTCGGTTCCCGGCTACTAGGTCTCTCTGCATTATTTCTCTGCATTCCAACTGTCCTATCAACTCTTGTTGACAATGGAAAATTGCTCTCTATAAACGGCATTGACTACCATAGTGGCGGCAATGCAGTTTCAACTTTAATCACTTCTGTGGACTTTAATTCCACTCAATTGGAAGATCTTGTGCCTTTCACGGTGATTCGAACAGATCAGACTCTTACAAACGAGAGTTTGAGCGATATTATCTCAAACTATTCCGCCACCGACGACGTTTTCCAAATCGGCTTCCTCGAAAGTAGGTCATTCTTTTCTCACGGAGTGACTCGGGACTGAAGTAAGCTGACCCGACGATAGCTGTTTTTCTTCTCTATGAGGGCCATGGCCGAGGCAATGTCGACACTACTGTCAAGCAAGTCTTCAAGGACCTTGGTAGCAGTCTTGTCATGGCCTCCTCCACCTATCGCCCTGAAGCATACCTCACGCCAGCTAAGCTTCGGCATAATTTACCCAAAGGTCCATACTTTTACTCGCCGAAGACAGGTGAAGTGCATCAAGCTTTCCGTCTTTACTCCGACCATCAGCTAGCATTCACGGAGGCTGCTCTGAGTGATGGAGCCGGGGGCTTCAAGCCACTCCCTGCGGCTGTATCGGTGAGTAAACCGAACTTCAGTCTTTTTCTTGAAGTTTCCGCTGACCACCTGAAAAGGGGGCAATGACGAAAAGCGTTGCTGTGCCGTCAAGACTTTACTATACGCCCACATCAGGAAAACCACTCGCAGGAGTAAGTCTAATCGTTGAACTTGGATCAAAAACGTCATTGACTTGGTACAGTTGCGCGTGGGAATTAAAGACATCTTTGATTTGAAGGGACTGCGGACCAGCGGAGGCAATCGGGCCTACTACGACTTATATCCTCCGCGTAACACCACCGGACCCGCACTTCAAAGACTCATCGATGCCGGGGCTGTGGTAATTGGAAAAATGGGAACAGTTCAATTTGCAAATGGCGACAATCCCACGGCCGATTGGGTGGATTTCCACTGCCCATTCAACCCACGGGTATGTATCATGAAGGCCTTTCAAAACACAAACTGACACTTTTTCAGGGCGATGGCTACCAAGCACCCGGGGGCTCTTCTTCAGGACCTGGCGCTGGCATGGCCTCTTACGACTGGTTGGACATTGCGATAGGAAGTGATACCGGTGGCTCAATGCGTAGTCCAGGAGGAATGCAGGGCCTTTTCGCCAACAGGCCCTCTACTGGGGCTGTCAATCTCGACAATGTGATTCCACTGTGCCATGCACTGGATACAGCTGGTGTTTTTGCTCGCAACGCTGCCACATGGTCGAAGGTTATGCATGCCTGGTATGAAAACTTCACTGATTACAGGGAATACCCGAAGAAGTTGTTCTATCAAAGCTCCTCGTTCCCCAGCACCAACACAACCGCCGGTGCGCTTATTGAAGATCTGGTTTTGAAGGTTGAGAATTTCCTCGGTGTGAAGAGGGAATTTGTCAACATCTCCTCGCATTGGGAAGAAACTCAATCTTCTGGAACACCAGGCATATCGAAATTGTTAAACACGGTGGGTTCTGGCGATTCTCAGATCTATTCTCCGGTGTTGACTTTTTTTGGCAGACATATGCCTCTCTAGTATCCGTTGATCAATATCGTTCCCTGAGTTTGCCATTCTATGCAGACTATGCCACAAAGCACGATGGTCGTCGACCTTTCGTCAACCCAGGCCCGTTAGCAAGATGGGCTTGGGGCCAAGATAACGGAGGCAACTCTGCCTATGATGAAGCGTTGCAGAACAAGACTATCTTCAAGAACTGGTGGGAGACGAAGGGATTTGGAAAGGCTGACGATGAAACATGCTCGGAGGGTATCTACATCTACCCTTACAGCAAGGGCGAGACACAATACAGAAATGCCTACTTCAGGTAAGTCGATGGTACTCGAATCCCTGAGACTATGGCTACTAATTCCTCCAGTGCACCATCTGCGCCTCCTATGGGTTTCTCGGACGGTCGCATCGCTGTTTTGGCCGGCGCACCGGATCTGGTAGTCCCCGTTGGCGAAATTCCTTACAACTCCACCATTTCACTCAAGACAGAGTATATGCCTGTCACGATGAGCTTTGTCGCTGCGAGAGGCTGTGATTTGATGTTGGTAAACTTGATTGAGGATATGGAAAAGGCGGGTATTCTGAAACCTGTCAGCACGGGGCCAAGAATGTATCCCGAGTGAGCGATTTCATTGCAACTTTCTGGTTGTAGCATGGGCCAAATCTGCTCTCTATGTTCATACAATACTCCATGCAATATGTACCGAGATAAATAATTGAAGTGGATTGAATCTTAAACGTGTCCAATGTCTCGCGGTCCACCAGGTCCTTCTTCCAGGCCGTTCTTCCGAGGAGCATCGGGACGCCAGCGCCAGAACGGACGCATAAAAGATGAGCTTCCGTCGCCGTTCTCGAGAATATCTGCTGCATGCTGTAAACGAAGATATTGTGAGTACTTGTCAAATATTTTGAACATTGCCACCTACCTGTCCCAGAATCGGCAAAAACTTTGCGCCATGACCGCTGCCACCGGTGCAGACAAACACAGAATTCTCAGCATAGGTTGGGACATAGTCAATCTGAAAAACGGGTGATTAGGCGTGTACTCTCAAAGATTCCATGGATGATTCATACCACAAAAGAGTTGTCCAGAGAATCAGTATACCAGCAAAGCTTCGTAGAATAGAACGGAGAATTCTCGAACTCGGGCATGAAGATAGACACAAACTGGCTGACTGCATGTAGAGCCGGCTCTGGGAGAACAGAGCTTTCTTCTAAGGGAAGAGGTGTCGACCATTGGCCGTCCTGGGCAAAGGGAACATCTTTGGGGGCTGTATGGAAATTCGTCCACTACGGACAGTCAGTAGAGAATAGATTGAATCTCGAACCCCCTTACTTTGATTCCACGATATCCAATCTTGACTAGACCTTCAGGAGTTCGGGGCAGAACATATATACTCCCTGTGTCTTTGCCCGAATTATCTCGTGGGGTGCTCTTCCAGGTCATGACTGGGAAACGTTCGGGCGAATACTTTTCCCATAGCTCGATATCGCCTTCATCTATCTTGAATGTCGCAAGGCTTCCAGCGGAGGACTCGAGATGATAGCTCAAGTCATGAAGTATCTGTGTTGAGAATGATCCAGCTGCACAAAAATTAGCCATGCATGTTGAGGGTGACGGGGTTTTCAGGCCTACCAGCAACAACAACAGTGTCAGCTTTGTGGATTACTCCATCCTTTGTTTTGAGGCCTGTTATTTTCTTCTTATTCGGCTCAATGCTGCTGGCCTCTTCGAGCAATGACTCAACGGCTCCATGCTCTGATCCGAGGTTAAATTTGATGCCTTTGGCATCGGCTTTTTCACGATAGTAAGCACAGGCATTACTGCACCGCACGAACCCAGCTAGCGAGTCAAGAACTGCTTCGTAGCTTTTATCAGGAGAGTCTGGGATCTGGAACTTTAGCAGTTTTTCTTTCCAGCCCAATTTCTCAGCGCGCTCGCAGTCTGTCGAGTTACTATCCACAAATTGCGTGTCTCGCAAACCATCACGCTGCATACTATCCAACGTTTCTTTTTCTAACGTCGCTAGGTGATCTGATGGCTGGATTCGAAGCATCCCACTGTTCACAAAGAGTTGCTGGTAGTTTGTCCCGCCGCTGGAGAGCCTTCTATCCTCATCCTCCGATATCCACGCCTCGCGGCTCTCCAACGCAAGACGCTGGTAGTGGATTTCGTTACCATAGGACGCGCGAAACTAATGATGATGGGTGTCAACTTTCTGTTGGAGCCGTGGTGCTTTGCTGGTGGCTCTCCGGCTCACATACTATCTTGTTATGGTCCGCAGATGCAGCCTGCACGTCGTCGGCTGCGGGGTCATACCCATTTTCATCGTACTGGCTGCGGTCGAATACGGTCACTTCATAATCTAAAAAGCAGATTAGCTCATGAAATTCTAATTGCATCCTGAAAATACCCTTTTCCCGTAATGCAATGGCCAATGAAAGACCGAATATCCCAGCTATCATGTCTGTCAGTGAGTGCCAAATCAGAAGACCCAATATCCGCAGTCCTACCTCCAACTATGGCAACTGATCTGGACTGTGTCATTTTTGGTGATTTTGATATGGAGAAAAAGGCTTTGTCGGTGTAGGTGTTGGTTTGAGTGTCGAGGAGATATCAGGGGAGAAGTGAGGACCACCTTGGCTTCCCCCACTGTCGTCCCCGCCTTGCACCATCTCCCGGTTTTTTGACTCAATACATTCGGCATGATACTAGTGAAATTTTCTTTGCTACACAGCTTGATGCGCTGTTCAATAACTTCACATATCTAACCTAGCTTGATTTCTGCCCAGCCAGCATCCTGAAATGCCGCCTGGAAAACTTTCCCCAGCCCTACCCTCTCCCAAAGGCCGCGCTCTTCATTTCTTTCTAGGAGTAACACATAGTATAAGTCCCATTCTGACTCCTCCCGTTTCTTGGGAATGTAAGATGTCCAGAAGGGGCATTCCTCCATCGTGAATCGCTTTGCTTCCGAGATGGCAATGAACGTGCACTTGTAAATGTCTCCCTTCGGAATGAAGATCTCATTCAGAGCAATGCACCCACACCAGTCCCCTTGGGTGTCTAGGATATCATACCAATTCCGACCCTGAGCCAAAGTCTTGTTTCTGTGTAGGCTATTGGGATCCCGCTCCTTGACATAAATATCGCTTATCCACGTACAAAATTGCAAGATTGGCATGAACCGCAAGGGATTTGATGATTCCTTTTTACTTGGCATGGTTCTTCGAATCACCCCAAAGGGCCAGTCTGGTAAGATGGCATCCAGTGTTACGTCTTGCTGGTGTATTTTGTCTGAAATCCGGCGTCCGTACTCATCACTCTGAAAGGCTTTGTGGGAACCAGGTACGTGCTGCGGTAGTTTCGGGTCAGCCGAAACGTGTGACCTGTCGACCGAACTGACATTTTCCGCTTGTTTTGACTTGACTTGGCTTGGGTCGATCTTATTCCCTCGAGGTGTCCTGCGTGATTGACGACTCCTGTACCGTGTGTTTGATTCATGCACAAGGTCTTCTCCTGTCGTGTTTGATTTCGTTTCAAGCCCAGGTTCACTCGATTGATCCGCTTTTTCCAATGTTATTGGATAGCCCGCCCAGGCATTATCCACTTTGAACTGTAAATCACGACGGGGAGCAAACGAATCTCTGGATATGATATCCCATAGAGGTTGCAAATGCCCCTCCTCGTCGCGAATGTGCCATTTGATCCAAGTGTGAGAAGTCAGCCACTGCCGAACATTTTCTGAACAACCCTCCAACATGCCCGATTGATACTCGATCTTTCCTCCCATCCACCCTGCCCAAGCCCAAGTTGGAAATTCTTCGGCCCCAAAAGATTCCTCCTCCGCTCGACAGGTACAGTTCCCAAGATCATCCTTAGTACAGATTTGCTGCCCTACTTTGGATTCATCGCCTCGCTTTCTCGGAGTCAATACTTCTGTTGTTTCCCACAAGAGAGCGAAATCAAGGTGGGAAGCTGGCAAGCCGAAAAGAAAACTCGTCCGCATATACCGCTCCAGCAGCCATGAGACACCCTGGAAGGCAGCAAGTGCATCACGTTGTTTCGTAAGGAGACGCCCAGTAAACATACTGACGTATGACATGTATAGTTTCAGGGGGCTGGTCTGCAGCTGTTGCAAGGTTCGAAGCGGGAAAGTTGGAACGAGCTCTTGGCTTCTTCCATCCGTATGAATATCTTGTGAGATGCTAATGCCGCGACATTCCCAGTATACCCGACCCTCGGCGAAAATGAGACACCGGCGGGATAGAATTCGTTCTTGAAAGGTCCAGGCACGCTTATTCCAGATAGAATCGTTGATAACAGCTTCCAATGGTCTTGTTACCATAAGACGAACACGGGGGGCACAATCAGCAACAAGGGGCTGTGAGTCACTTTGGTCCAGGTCTTTGGAATCAGAAACCAAAAGCATTTCCTCCCGCATACTCGCTGCTGGCTTCATGGCACGAAGGCCAGCCGAGGAATCTTCGCCATCAGCGGCGCATATAGTGAATTCTGCATTGCCATAGACAAGGTGCATTGCACTAGTGTTCAGTTGCCAAGAGGACCTGCTGTCCTGAACAATGCAGAGTGAATCGATCCAAAGGTAGCGGTAGCCCAGTCCGCGGACAATCGAGATCGCATCTTGTATTGTTCGCGGCAGCTCTTTCCATGGTTTCTCCAGGCCCCGTTCATCAATGTGCCCCATCACTGTTTGGCGCTTTGTCACATAGGGAAGCTCGCCCTGCGCACTCTTTCCCCAGACATAGCTGAGAGCCACATATGGCTCGAGCGAGCCATCCTCCTTCTTGGGCAGTGACTTCAGTTGCATATCCACCACGTCGATAACACCGAAGTACGATTGCTCGACGAGATCTTCAAAGGCCTAGTCGGTATCGTGATTGTCCCCACACAGCTTATGATCTGCTGAGTTGACACATTGATGAATCCAGCTCTTCATAAGATTGACGATCTCTTCTGGGTCTCCAGAGCGCCGACCCAGGAAGTTAAATTTGCTGTCGGATGTGGCTGACGTATTCGAATTGGTTCGTAGCAGGTCAGGAGGTGCCACAAGGATCAGATAAACCTCTTGACGGCCTATTGGGCTCTCGTTCCAACTCAGTTTGATCCATCGAGTTTTGTTGATAAACCCATCTCCACTTGGCCCGGACTGTTGTCCATGGATTTCCCAAATGAGAGAGCACGATGTGGAGCGATCAACATTCTTCCCGTATCGGGTGATTGCCTTGGATATCAATTTGCAGAGCGGGCAACCGCCATTTTTCGATAAATTTTCCAAGGTACTAAAATTCTCCCATTTCCGGCCTGACTTGACTTGGAAATGCTCACTGGCTTTGGTTTTCTGGTAACTGGGTGTTGCATTGGTGGCTGCGGGCCCCGGGGGCTCTGCTTTAAGTATAAATTTATCATCAGTGAGATCAAGGCTCTGGCATCGGTCGCATAGCAAGATCTGACAGGTGTGAGCACTCAAAGGTTTCTCTGGCGAGGAGCTTTTCAACTAACCTCCTGTCCCTCGTTGCTATCTGGCGCAAGAGGAGTACTGCTTGTGTCCTCGGATCTGACGGGTTCCTCGGCCATGTTTAGATCTTGGTTGTGTATAAAGAATAGCGAGAACTGTACTGAGAGGGGTATTGAGGTGGTAGGGTACAAAAGTACCGATTCAGTGACCATTAGGACCAGCTCCGATATTTGCTGTTTGCTATAGCTTGGCAGAACTGCGAGATACATGATTGGGCTTATCTGTAGCAGTTTTGGGGTGCTCGCAGTCGCGGAGTCTTCGCCCTGGGCTCTCTGTCCGTCGGGAATAGGAGAACACAAAAAAACATACAACAGTGAGGATTCGCTGGTGGTCACCCACCCACCTACTAACTCACCGACGTGTTTCTTAAACGCGGCCAGTAGTCGGGTGGGCGTCGCCCCGGTGAGAAAGGGGTGAGCGCCGCTTTACGGTCGCGCGACCGGGGGTGACGAGGGTGAGTGCGCTAACGTAGTGATCATAGTCTAAGTTTGGGCTACGCGACTGGCTTGCTGAATACATCGTCAATTGATGCTTAATGCCGTTGTGACATATACATCCGCACCTTCCAATTGTATAGCCATCTGGGACTTCCTATCTGAGGGGACAATCAAATGAATTTTTGAGACGTGTAACTACATTATCAGACCACCCACATCGATTAACAATACACCCATCGAAATGATGTTCTTTACCCCTTTTTTTAAACGTTTTTCTTATGGCGCCAGTTTTAGTTGGTAAGTTTGTCGCGCGTGTGTGTATCAAATGGGCCTTTTTCGTGATATCTCTCAAGATTGCTTTATTGCTTTGGAGTTGTATAACTTCCGTTTGTCTTTTGAACCCTATGCTTTGGCCTCTTTTCATTACTCTTTCCAAGCCTTTTTGAATGCCATTTAGCTAACATTATGAATAGAGGCGTTGCCTTTGGCGCGACGCGACATCAGTTGGGCCGCCGAGCTTATCAAACAGGCCGGCGAGCACCCGGACCACCTCAGGTCCATGTTGGGGAACCTCTGTTGGTTCTTTTTTTACACAATGGCCATCAAATTCGCGTTTCATTGCGCCAAAAGAGAATACGACCGGTAATGCTTAGCCTATGATGACTGTCGAATCCATGCTAACTAGACTTCTTTTAGAGGCTTCCTCCCCCACCTCCCCCCCCCCCCCCCCCCCCCCCCGCCCCCCCCCCCCCCCCCTTACGAGGGGGGTTTTGGAGATGTTTTGGGGTTTTGGGGTTTGTTTTTTCTTTTTTTTTTTGTTTTTTTTTTTTGGA